GGAGGAGGAGGGGGGGAGCATTTCGGGGGAACCCCCCCACCGGCCGTGCGGCCGCCGCTGGATGCGAAATCCCGTCTTCCCGGCGTCGATTCCACCCTCTACGCGAGGCGAGGGGGGTCGTTTTGGCAGCGAAATCCCCCACCCAACGGAGGGGGCACCGACCGCGCGGCCGCCCCTTGGGGTCCTTCCCACGGCTTCACCCACCTCTCAGGGGCGGAACCCATCGGGATCACCGTTTACCCCCTTCGCGTGTTGTATAAAGGGGTGCTGCATCATTTTCTCTTTCAAAAAGTCGGAACGCGGGCGTGGTGGTATATGCGGCTGACGGAGCTCGTCGCGGTTTGCCAGTCCGCCGCCCACGCGTTGGAGGTCGCCGCGGCCGCGCAGTCGGTGCAGGCGTTTCTTCGAAATCGGATTTCCTACCCGGTGGGGCCGTCGGCGTTTGAGTGTGTGGATATGCTCGGGGTCGGGGCCTTTGGACGGGTGCTGCTGGTGGAGCACAAGCTCACCCGGAAGCTGTTTGCGATGAAAATCGTCCGGAAGACGTGTTTTCACGGGGTCCGTAACGTGATTGAGATCCGCCGCGAGTGCGCGATCTTGGAGTCGCTGGATTGCCCGTATATCATGAAAATCCACGCCTGCTTCCAGTCCGACAGCCGCGTCTACATCTTGTTGGATTACCTCCCTGGATGTGAGCTCTTGATGCACACCCAACGCGCCCCTGGGCATCGCTTCGACGAGTCGATCGCGCGTTTTTACATCGCGGAGCTCGCGATCGCGGTGGAGCACCTTCGGCTGCACGGAATCGTCCATCGGGATGTCAAAGGCGACAACCTCGTCTTGGATGTCGAAGGCCACGTCGTGTTGACCGATTTCGGTTTCGCGAAGAAAATCACGACGGACGAGGCGTCCTCGCCCGCTTCGGAGGGTCAACCCCCGGGGCGGGTGATTAGACAACGCACCGGGTGCGGCACGCGGGCCTACATCGCGCCGGAGGTCCTCAATGCCTCCTCTCCGGACGAGGAAGGGTACGGGTTGGAGGTGGATTGGTGGAGTATGGGGGTGGTGCTCTTCACCTTAATCACCGGGTGCTTTCCGTTCCTGCGAAAGACCGAGCACGAGACGAACATCGCGATCACGCAGTGCGCGCTTCAATTCCCCCCGCACGTCGCCCTGACGGAGGCGGCGCAGGATGTGCTGATGATGTTGATGCAGAAGGACCCCACACGACGGATCACCACCCTCGCCCAACTGAAGCGGCATCCTTTTTTTAATGGGTTTAACTGGGGGGCCTGTGAGAAGCGCCAGCTTCGCCCGCCGATCTCCTTGCATAAGGATAGCTACAACACCCCCTCCTCCTCCTCCGCGGCCTCGCGGCGGCTGAAGGAGGCGGTCACGAACGCCCTCCGCTACGCCAACGAGGATCATCTGCAAAAGCTACCCGTTTCGTGGAATGTACGGGAACAGACCCCAACCAACACCCGCTACATCAACGAGTTCAACCAAGAAAAGGAGGAAATGCTACTTTTGGAGGCCGCCTTCGGGCCGGATGTGATCCCGACGCCCGTTCAGGTCGAGAATGACGTCTTCGGCCCACTTTATGATAACCAGGAGCTTTTCAGCAGCATGCGAGATTTAGTCGATGTTAAGTGTGATTTCGACAGCCGTGGTTACATCCCGGAGGTTTCGCATGGGGATATCGGGTTGTTCCACAATAACGAGCAGATTTCAGGTGGTCTTACGCTCATCGACCACCCCACAGGGGGTGGCGCCAAGCTTGTCGATGTCGCCCTCGCCAATACCAGCACGAGCGTCGCCGTCGACTCTCAACCGCCGTGCAATCAGGGCATGGAAAGTGCCTGTCAGACGTCTGTTCCGCATTCCAATCCATTGTCCATCGGTTGTGGTGACATCGGTGGCGGTGTCTTTACCGAAGGAGAGGACTTTGGGGTAGTCTTAGATGATTACAAAGAGGAAAACTACGCCCCGATGACTTACATGCCCATCGTCGAAGCACACAAAACATCAGAAATGACGGTACCACCGTTTCATCAGTTAGCTTTCCAGAAAGGTATGGTTCGTCTGAAATGAATAAACAGAGGGAAACTGGGCTGAGAAACAGAGGCTTAGTGTATATGTCATGAGATATACGCTCTTTTTTGGGGAAAAAGAACCCAGCAATGTGTAGGTTGGGGTACAAATTAGTGCTCTGCAATTATCATATATTTTTCACTTTTTTTTTCCCGCTCTAACTGTTCTGGTGTCCCGATTGCTTTAATGGCAAAGTTAAAAAGCATAAATAAATTAAAATATCTCTTTATAATGGAATTATGCTTGTGTCCGTTTTAATACTGATTTTTTTGTAATTGTTTGCACATTGCACATTTGATGGTTTTGTTGGGGTAATGAGCTTGACGTATATATGAATGTATATATATGCATATTTATGCTTTGTAGATTCAATTTGGGTGGAGTGCCTTCTTTCTTATTTTAACATCCGGAAGGGGTTCACTTTAATTACGTTTATGTGGATTATTCGTTTGATGTCATGTTTTTTTTTTCTCCCTTCGTCTGGAGGACGTTCAGAGAGATATGAGTATATTTTCTATGCCGACGTTTTATATTTGCTTCAGTTCTTTCTTTACAAAATCAAAAAGACGCTCAAATTGGGGTCAGTTTAAGTATTTATGTATAGAATTTCGTCTTCAGATGTGATGTCTTTCCCTTCAATCCATCTATGTTGTCTTTCCGAATGCTATGATGATAGTAACATTCAAGTGTGTGTCTATCTCATTCCATCCGTTCTATTCAGCAGATTTCTTTATCCTTCTCTGTTGCAGAGAAGAGAGACGGGAGATGTAAAGAAAATAGGGGGAACCCATCTTTCCTGGTTTGTTTCGATTTGTATCAGAATGCATGTACCGCACGACGCCTTCCTGTATTCCTGAGCGATTTTCTCTCCTTTCACTTTTTTCTTTAGAACGAAGGCTGTGGAGATTAGATATATATATTCATTTAAATATACTGAATCTCCTCTTATATTAGCTATTCAAAAGGGTTTTATACACTTATCTCACATTATTAAAATATTATTTTTCCCTTCCTTAAGGCTTTAATATCTGTCTCTCTCTCTCTATATATATATATACATTGTCGGGTCTCTTTGGAGTAATTTGGTGTTGTTGCTTTTTGCTGCGTGTGTGTATGAGTGCAATATTACAACGCCGTTGGCATCTAGTCTATCTTTTAGTAAAGCTTCTTAATTTTTAAAATATATCAATATATTACATACTATTGCTGTTTTGCTTGTTTGTGTAGTTGCGTTTAATTCAACGTGTTGGACGAAACTAGCATACACTCGTAAAACACAATAAAATAGTCCCTTTAAGGAGGCCTATTCAGCTGTTGTTCAGCTACTTCTAAAGTTATTTATGTGATTCATATTTTTGAGGAAATCAACTACTATTATATTTTCAGTAGCTCGCAAATGTTGAAGCGTGCTGAAGACTCTCAAAAATGCCTTAACAATGCATTTGACAAGAATGAGCATTCGGGTCGATCCCCCGATGATCCCATTCGTGATGAAAAGAATGGCGTCATCCAGGATGTATCCAACTGCTCTAAGAGATATGGAGAAGAGGGGCATAACAATGAGGCCCCATACGATGTTACCCCAATTCTAGAAGGCGATCACCACCCTTTGCCACGCGTGCCCGACCCATCAATGGAAATAGGCCAAGGACTTAATTTGGTTGATTCAATTGCGAAATCTCGGGATTCAGTCTATCCACGAGCAGCTAGCCACCAACCGTTGTTGCATACTCAAGAATCCACTAATGAAGAACTACCATCATATCCCGCTGGATCACCCATTGCTGTAAGTAGGATGAAATTTTTGGAAATCAAAAAAGATATGCAGTTACACAACCAGCTGCGAGGATTTGCACACCAAAACATCGGAGACTTACTGATACCGACAATCATCGTGAAGAACCCGCATCTATCCACGTCTTTTTATGAAGGTTCCCATACATTTCAACCAAGCATGGCCAGTAGTCGAGATATCCTCAGCAATACCAGCAGTGCTATTGACCCTTTATCACTTTCAGCTACAGTGCCACTAGATAATGCCTTTAAGAATAGCCGATTTGATCCTGACAATCCGAAGGAAGAATCATCATTTGATTGCATTACTGATTTAACGAAAAAAGCGGAAAAGTCTGAAAGTTTATCACTCGTGACAAAAGTAGTTTCGCACAAGGGGACCGCTTATAAAAAATCGAGTTTTTTTGAGCATCAAGAGATATCCCGCCTTTCATCCAAAGGTGTAACGGATGTACACGTATCAAACCCCCTTTCTCATTCACGCAGAGAATCGCTTCCATTGGTAGTAGAGTCATTTCCTATTGTGTATGCAAATCAAGCCGTGCTTCAGCTGCTTGGCCATGTTAAGCACCAGAATCTTGTTAGCAGTGACATTAAGGCTCACTTCTGCTGCTACCTACCCATCCTCATAGATCAATCCGACAGTAAGACGGAAGATGGTCCCTTAGGTCGGTATGATACGAAAAATGGAGTAGTGGGATCGCTGGTAAGCTGTGGAAGTACCACAACTATAAAACCCTCAAATTCTGACAAGCATATGACACCAGTCTCAAATTTGGTGAATATATTTCCCCTTCATGACGATTTGAAGAATCAAGATTGCTCTAAATATGAGGTTAAAGAGCTCTCAGAGCTTTCAGAACTCTTCAAGACAGGTGTGGAGTGCTATTTGGGACTTCATAGCATACAGGACTCGAGCATCTATACATGTTTTGCTATGAGTCTGGATTATGTGAACCTATGTAATACTGGGAACGTGATGACGCCCTTGGTGAGGAATACTAGCGGTCGAAATGAAGCTGCAACAGGAGACTTTTTATTTGAGGCAGGTACCAACATGGATGCGGTTGATATTATGGATACAAATGCTCCTTTTAGCGGTGCTAAATACATGAATTCTCATAAAAATGCATTTAAAAGTTTTGGTGGATGCGGGGTCGACGATAACGCTGAAGAGCCGTACTTAATTATTTTCTTCCTTAGAAAGACATTGCCTACTGGAACCATTGGTATAGATGCAGGTAAGAGTGATGAGGTCCCAGATAAAGACTCGTCTTTACCCACATCTCTGAGATCGAGTGATATTGGTATGAAGAGGCAATCCAGAACGGAGCCGTTTCTTTTTGGAGGTAAAACGAGCCCCACATTCCCTGTTGTTGCCACTAATAGACCATCTGTGGATGGGGTCTTGGGTTCATTGAGCACTTCGCTCAGCGCACATCGTGCTCCCCTAGCTACCACCGTCCCTTCATCCTCTCCGTTTCCTATTATCTACAATGCTAAGCCAGAGTCGGATCCTTACACTTGCTCCTCTTTGTCACCCTTTCCGCACCATGATTCCGAACACACGGGGAACCGAAACGACGTTGACACCGACCTCGAGTTGAATAAAAGGGAAGTAACCAAAAAATCCCAAAACAAGGACCACCATGAGGAGAGCCCGAGGGGAAGTCAAACCAAGTTCCATACTACTCGTAACAGTGAGGCTCATGAAACAAATTTCTATAAGCCGCTAAGTAGCTTTTGCACGCTACCCAGTGGAGCTTTGCAGGGCATAGCGTCTGCAAGTAGGAGAAAGTCGTCGTTTTCAAGTATTTTGTCGAAGGAAATTCATACAGTGTCCTCACAACGGCAGAAACGACATAGTCAAGAACGTTCCTCACAGGACAAGACATCCCACAAGGAGTTGCACGAGCACCGACGCAGTGAAAAACAGGAACCTCATTGGCATGTGCCGGACCCATTTCTGTCGAAACGGATGTTCTCGGATGCGGAAAGCCGGAATCTCAGCATATTTAGCCATTCTGAAGGTAGTAGTGGGACGAGCCGCACGACAACGGTGATAACGAGAGACTCTTCAAGTAGCCATGCCGCATCTGAAACAAGGGCAAAGAGGGGTCAGAACGATAATCCTGAGATGCCTGTGGGTGCTACTTCCACACCCTGTACCTCGCTTCTATTGCCAACACAGAAAGGGAGGAGGATTTCTATGTGGGCCTCTCGCCTCAGCCGCGAGGATAAATCAAAAACCACAAAGTACGTCTCCTACAACGTTAATCCGGGCTCAGATTTTTCTAACGTTGTTGAACGAGTGGAGGATCAGATTCAACCGACTGAATCTCTTAGCCAGAATGGCAATATTCACTGGAGCGACCCAGGGAGATCACACCGCTCAAGGAAGGACTTCTTGAAGACGTGGGAAACCTTTGGTACGGTAGGAAACACTACTAAAAATACTCCTGAGGTGCATATGGCAGAGCGTGCGAGCAAACCCACCTCGCCGGCGACGAAGTTCTCGGCCTTGTCGTTGAGCGGAAAGAGGGAGGATACTTTCAATCGGATCACCTCAGGCCCCCAGACCTCGTCCTTGACCCCAACCAGCTGGCTAAACGATACCGGATATCACTATCTGACCTCCGACATTGGTGGCAATGAATGGGCCAAGTTCCGACTGAATTCTGAGTCTTTCCAAGGCAGCAGTCAGAGGTACTCCACCGATAATAGGGACGTGGCCACGCGCACCAGCAGCTCCGCCTTCAGTCCAGATTCCTCAAACCCTAGATTCGTCTCCTTCAGCGCTTTTCAGGAGGACCAGACTGGAGATTCATACCGACAGCAGCCCGATACGCTGGGGCGGGTGAGCAACATGAGTTTGTCCTCCCGCCCCGCAATGACGCAGCGCGCCCGCAGCACGGACACGGTGCAGGTGAAAAATCTGCGGCTGCGATTGCAGTCCCTCAAGGGGATCGCGACGGTTCAGATCTCGAAACGTGTTCCTAAGACCTTCATCATGAACATTGTGTCCTTATTTATTCTGTTGCAGTACGTCCAGCGGTATCAGCGTCAGTGCGGCGCTGAAACGCCGGTCCATTGCTTTGTGAATATCAGGAACACCTTTATTGTGGTGGATCTTCTGTCCGACATAATTTTCCAGGGAATGACCCTTGAGGAGATGATGAGTCAGCTCGAGGCAAAATACATACAAACGGATAAAAAGATTCTCCGGGAGGAACGGAGTTTTGCGGTCTCTGAGGCTGAGCGGGTAAGCCAGATCTCTTTTGATATCACAAATGGCGGTACCTCTGGTGTGAAGAAGTCTTCCCCGCCAGTTGATAACTTAAAGATGGCTTCAGAGCACCAGTTTAGGCTTATTAACCACGCGTTCCACACAACGCATTTACCGCCGCCGGTGACGGCCGGCAGTACACGGCGTATAGACAATAAAAGGGCGAGCCTGTCCAACGCGTCGATGGTTATGGGAACGGGGCTGATATCCGTCGCCTTGCCAGACACGTCTCTTGTGGCGGGCGCTGACGGTGTAGAGCAAGGGCAGACTGGTTTTGACCATAGCAGGGGTGTTTCCCCCATCCTTTCTGCCCCTCAATCTGGCACACCAGAGGTTTCATCTCCAAAAGAGTCGGCCTATGTACCGCTTGAGTATGTCCTTCCACAAGAACTAATCGACCTTCTGATTCATTGCAACGGTTCCCTAAATATCCGCCGAGATAGCACAGCTGTCACACTTAGTCTTCCTTATATTACGAAGGAGCGTTTGGCTCTACTGGATAATGTCGAAACAGTGCAATTGTCCTCTCAAAAAGGGTTGTTTACATTTGGAGTTTCTCTTACCAACCTTTTGACGGAAGAAGCAGCGACTAAAACGAATCTCGAGAGCGCCTCACTGTTTCATGAACAGGATGAGAAAAACAGGTCAGCACAGACTGGAACTCCGAATAGGGTACTAAAAATATCGCCAAGGGGGTTCTCCAAAAGTGAGATTGGGAAAGATGAGCGAGTTATTGAGGGAAGGCAGCGGAGCAAATCGTCTAACATGGATATGGTGAGCCATCCATTTGTTACGCTAATAGAACCGCTTACTACCAATGATGGTCAGGAGAAACGCCTTTCCGAGGGAGACTCTAGACGAGGAGTCCGAGGCCTTCACTCTGATCGTCCCGATCAATCTACTCAGGAGTTATCATGGCGAAAATCATCCGCAGTCAAGTTTGTGGAGGTTGACAGTACAAATGGTAGCGATGACAAGGCTCCTGAGACCCTTGATGACATCAAAAATGCGGACATCATCCCTAACTTTTGTGGGGTTGAGCAGCCCGAAACAAACTTTTCCACTGCAGGACTCGCCACTGCAGCCGCAGGGGCTTCTCTTCCTAGTGTATTAAAAAATGAGGATAATGTCTCGACAGAGTTCTTTCCGTGTGAGGAAAAGCTACAAGCCGAATGTTTGTTCGCGCTTGAGCGTGATGATCTGAAAGAAAATATTGAGACCCAGGCCACGTCACTCTCACATCCTATGCTGTTGACTACAGAAGACCCTAAATGGAAGTGGGAACAAAAAACCAATGATGTCTGTGACAGAGAAACAACCCCATCGTCTAAGGATAAGCCTCACGTTAAGCCTGAATGCCGCAACTTTTCATCAGAAGCACAACGTCAAGAGGAGTTGAAATCCAAAGGATATGAGTTTTTAGGGGGGCCTAAACTACCCACAAGTGTAGTGGGAGGCTTAATCAGCACACGCCTAGGATTAGAATGTTCGAACGATGATGTGATATCGTCGTCACAGAAGAATGATGTGGAAGTGACAGCATCTGCAGAAGATCAGCAAGAGTCTGTTTTGCAGAAACCATCCCGTTCCTCGTCCATCTTACGCAAAAACACGGGCAGTACCCAGACCACATCTCAGAGCAGTAGTGGCTCCAGAAAAGCGACCAAGAGCGTTTCCTTTGAGAATAGTGACGTGGGCGTCGAAGAACTACCACCATGTGTCCCAAGCTTGAGTTTTGCAAGCGTTCCTAACGACTCTCTGGTGGAAAGCTTTCCAAACATGTTCCGTATTTTGGGAACAAGGCCATCTATCGAAGGTGGGAAGGATTCAAAAAAGCATGAAACAAAATGGAATGAGGATGTTAATGGAAATAACACATACGGTGCGCGACTGTCATCTGGGGATTCTCAAGAAGGGATTGTCTATCATAACCAGACATCCTTTGAATCGAATTCCTCGCCTTTGCCCAAAAATCGCGAAGAAAGTGGATGGAGCAGAAGAGAGGTCACTTCTCCTTTAGAGGTTCGAAGACTATTCTACGTTGTCATATACACCACTAAAGAGCGGCCTGATATTGAGGAAGAGCTTGGTCGCTGTGGGCACTGCTGCTTGTTTATCACGAGCCCTGAAAAGATGCTGCGTTATATGCGAGCTAGGATGGACCGCTTTGATTTACTTCTTGTGGAGTGGAATGATAAACTTGTCACTCCAGAAGTCGAGAATTTTTTGCTGGGGTGCACTTCCGAACAGACCGTTGTGATGTACCACGTAACTATCACGGAGGATAACGCGAGGAATCATAACCCCCATTCAAAAAGTGGTGAGCACAAGCGAAGCGGAGGGGTGCACAGGGTCCTTCCTGAAGCGATTCCAGAAAGTGCCATCCTTCGTAGCCCTGATATCGCATCAGTGTTCCTCAACATCCGCATGCAGAGACAGACGCTGGACTATTTTTTCCGAAAGCGGTTGCTTCGAGAGATGCTGGAGCTCCGGGTAATACAGTCCTATCAGATAGTCCGTCAAATTGGCAGTGGCGCTGGTGGAGATGTGTTTGAGGTAGTTTTATATGCATCCAAGGGACATCTGGCCATGAAGCGTATCTTTCTGAAGAACATGTCGTTACGAGGGATAGAGAGACTCAGTCGTGAGGTCCATATCCTGAGCTCGCTGGACCACCCAAACGTCATTATTTTCTCCCACACCTGCTCTGCCGGTAACGATTTTTGCATCTTCATGGAGCTCTGTGACGGGAACCTGAGCCAGAGGATTCGTACCCCCGCGTCACTGTCTCATCGGGCTCCTTCCGATTCAAGTTCTGTCCAGTCTCATATTCGACTCCGCGCTCGTAAAAGTTCCATAGCAATAAGCAGCAAAAATAGTGCGGCCCCAACAAGTAGTATCGCTGGTCTGACTCCCATTAGTCCGGAGGAGGCAGTGCTGATTATTCACGACATTGCCAGCGGCATAGCCTACCTCCACAACCAAGGCATCATTCACCGCGACATAAAGCCGGCGAACATTCTGTTTGCTAACAACGTTGCCAAACTTGGTGACTTCGGCTCTGCGGTTCGGGTGCATGAGCGACATCCGTTGACAAACATGAAAGGCACACTGTCCTACATGGCCCCTGAGGTCATCCTCGGCGAGCCGTACGGAAAGCCTTGTGACATGTGGTCCTTTGGCTGTGTCCTGACGGATATTATGGGCTTCAACTTGGCCCACCTGATCGGGTTGCATATTCCGGCCCTCGTCGAGTTGTACGACTCGCTAAGCATGGCCGAGAGCCTGCCTGTGACAATAGCAAATCTCACCGTTTCTCGGCCTGAAAATCTGGTCTCTTCTACGACTTCACGCGGTGTACTGGAGGCCGTACGCACAGCTTCTATCCAAGCCGCGAAAGAGCGAGACGAGTTGGGCACTCTTTATACCTCCCAGCATACACCGGAATCAACCCCTTCGAAGTCACCTTTTGCCCGCGCGCGAGGAAGCAGAACGGAATGCCAAGCCCCCGATATTAATGTCATTACGCCGCGTACCGATAACGCACGGTCCCAAAGGCAGAAGTCCTCCATGTACCTGGACATGAGCAACGAGGGAAGGGTGGACTATATGGCACGAAGCTCCAGTATGCCACCGCGGCTCCCTGCCACTCTACCTGTTGAGGATCCAATAGGTGTTCCTCTCACGATTCGCTACACGAAGTCACCAGGTGAATTTTCCAGTAGCATGGACAAACGCCAGCAGCATCAGCCCAATAAAAGTCGCTACGACGCAGGCGCGGAAAGCTCTGGTCTGACAATAGCACGCACAGTTACTTGCATCAGCATCAGTAAAAACTCCGTTGTCGGCACCCGAATGGTCTCACTACCACGTTCCCTGGTGGAACTTCTAGAGTCCTTATTTCATCGTGATCCCGCGAAGCGCATGACTATCGAAGAGGTGTTGGAGCACCCAGTCACGTGGAACGTTGAATGGATGACAAGCATAATGGCCGCTCTCCATCAGGTAAACGAAAGCATCACGAGTGCTAATATTCCAGGAAGCAATCTCTGTGACGTCTCATCGCACTCTTCGAAGACCGCACGTTTTTCACGGGGTATGGGTTATGAGGCTGTGCCCGGTATCGGTCTCAGAGGCACTGCTTTTGAAGAAAAATTGTCGCTTTCGTTAAACTCTTCGCCGCTATTCGTAGCGGATGATAGGGGTACTCAAAAACAAGTAATGCCTACACTAGAAGAACCAACGAACCCTCATTGATGACTATATCGTCGATCAGAACATCAGCTTCTCGGTGGGTTCCACCCTCAATGACAGTACTCCGGCTTCATAGAAATACCCTGCCAATATAGTGAACTAAAGAAAAAGGGATAGGACTATAATGTATTAATGTATGTGAATAAGTATTATGCACACACACAATAATAAAGTCGATGGAACGTATTGTTTATTACGCCTACTAATGGCTTTTATGATTGTATAGTCTATATATACTGATATATTTATATAACATTTAGCCTTGTTCTTTGTCTATCTACTAATTGAGAAAAAGAAGGTGCAGTCAGTGCTTCTGTATCCCTTTTTTTGTCGATTGCCCTTGATTTGTCATGGCGGGGCTAGACCTACCCTCGTCAAACTCTAAATAATTAAAGTGAAGAGTAAAATACAACTTTGGCATATGTTTGTGTATTTGATCGCGACACCCACACAAGCGACTTTACCTCTCTCCAATACAGAATCACCTTTTTTGATCTAATTTTCCTCTCCCCTCTCTTGCATTCCTTGGGGTTCTCAAATGTGAGCAGCAATCGAAATTCGATTGATACACATCCATCTATCCAAACAAATAGGTGAAGGAAAAGATCAAGTTAAAGGTTGCTTAGGGTTAGTAAAGGACGAGAGCAACAACACTACCACAATTTTATGACTTAAATATCTGTGGTTTTCTTGAATGATAATGAGTTTTCTTTTTTTTTCGTTGTTTTTCCACTTTTGAGCTATCATACTACAATGGAATAAATATTTTGATGGATATCTTTGCTATATTATAGTTTCAATCATCTTTAAACTCCTCAAGTGCATACATACGAATAGCCTATATCTGCAATTTTACCAATTATATATCTATTCCATTGACTCTTTGAGTAATAAATTATATTCAACAATGTTTCTCTTATTAAATTTTGAAAAGGGGTGGTAATGAGTATATAATTGATCGAGTACTTCTGTTTCAATGTGCAGAATTTTTTATCATGTGATTTTGGTTTTCTGTATCATATAATTATTGCTGGGGTAACTGTTGGGTTGTATTCTGCGAAGCAAAAAATATTTCATATATGCAATGAATACGTACTGTTGTAATCAGTGGATTTCATAAAATGTCTTTCTGCGCTTCCATTTTTTCCCCGATTCCATGAGATGTATCTCTTTCTGTCACTTAATGCTGTGCAAATTTTCCTTAGCACATTTCAAAAATAATATAGGAAATAATCTTTGGTGAACGTCTGTTGCTCATCATGTCAGAATGCTGGTATATTCCTGACGATATCGAGTGTCGCTGTGCTGAGAACCGCTTCAGTCCAAATCAGCCGTGTTCCTACGAAACACTCTCCAATCTCCTAGTTTTCTACGAGTCGCATGAGGTTGTTGACGTCGTCGACAACGTAGAATTCTTTGCCGAAGCGCTTGTAAAGGAAATGGGTTACTATGCGTATGATGTTATCACCATCTCAGAAGAAGTCATGGGTGATGAATTTGAAGAGATGGCTGAAAGGCACTTCTCTGAGCATACGCACGATGATGATGAAGTACGTTTTATTATTGATGGTGAGGGCTACTTTGACATCCGCGATGTTGATGACCGCTGGATTCGTATGCTGTGTAGGACAGGTGATTGCATCGTTTTGCCTGCGGGCTGTTACCACCGCTTCACCACTACATTTAGTAAGTACACGATGGCGATCCGTCTCTTTAAGAAAAACCCAAAGTGGATCTCGCTGAGTCGCAAGGATGGGAGTGCAACGGAGTCCCACATGCGGTATGTAGCCCGACTGCAAGAGCCTCTCAACACCGTGGTGGGCCCCTCGCTTGGAGACGAAAAGAACCCTGATTGCGCGAAAATCTACTCCATTTCATTTCCCTTGGAGTTGGATCGAGATATGGAACGCATTGCGTCGGATTTCGTGGCTTCAAATGGGGAGGCGCTCATTATGTACTTCACAGGGGCGGCTAGCGACTATATGGGCGGCGATAGCTGGTGCCCGGACTGCATTGCTTGCACGCCATATGTTATCGGAGGGTTCAACAAACTATGTGATAAGTTTGGCAGGGATAAAATTGTCTTTGTGGAAGTACGTGTTGAACGAGCCAGTTATGCGAAGAACCCCAACTACCCACTACGCCTCCACGAAATGATCAAGTTACAATCTATTCCAACGGTTTTTGTGTTTGCCCCAAGCCCCACAAAGACTTCAAAGGCGGCTCCCTGGTGGGAGATTCTGGAACTTAAGGTACGTACTGAATCCCCAACCCCTGATGAGATGATAAAATGGTGATATGAGACCATTGAAATTTTAAAACGGCAGGTATATTTTCAAGAGAAAAACGGAATATATCTTTATAAGCATTTATATTTTAATTACCATGTGTGCTTGTCTCAATACTTATGATGAAAGTTTAGTGTATTTCCATGTGTTTCATATATTTTCATTAGTACAACATACGCAGTCCAGATATAACCTTAAATCGCATTTACCTTAATGCGTCTTTCTAATGCCTCTATTTTTGACCTAATAAAAAAGGGATATGGCGAGGGGACAAACAAACAAAAATAAAGTATCGAAATATATTACCCCAATTTTGAAGCTTAGATGATAGTTATTTGGAATTAAATTAATACACACACATATATGTATATATATACATATATTGGTGTCGTGCATGACGTAATCAAATGGCATGGTATTTCTTGTTCAATGTGTATCTTTTCTTCTACATGTTTATCATTTTTTATCTGCTATCGTTTCTTCCTATTTTTTTCTTTTTTTATAAGCCGTGTCGAGTGTGTTCTGTCTTCTCTCTTCAAGGCACAGTTCGCTGATATAATGTTATGGATACGTAAATCGGGGTTTATTAGACGAGGGTGGGTGGGTTCCGCACGGATTTCCTCAGCGGTTATACCGCACCGCCGAGATGTTCATGACATGTATCGCAAAGATCCTGGCCTCAGCCCTAGCAGCTACGTTGATGATGGTGAGGAGGGTGATAATACGGTAAACAATGAAAATGGTGATGCTTCTCCTTCTTCTATGTCTTTCCGACCACCGCCGCTGCCTGATCCACCTTATGGCATTCCACGCTCGTCCGAATTTGAGGCGGAACGTCTTGGTGCTTTCTCCAAGGAGTGGTTGCAAAAAGCATTACCTGAGATTGAGAGGGTCGTTTCAAACCAAGGGCTTTTGCCACAAAAGGATATCCTATGGGAAACTGCACCACACGCCGCGCTTGAGGCGTTAACACGATGGAGATCTTACCATGATGTCCTTAAAATTATAATGGAGCACAGTTTTTTTTTCTTGTTTGACTCTTTGCCTTTTTCTAACGACGCGCCAATGCCACACGTGATATACGAGGATATGATGAAAGCCTTGACGTTTTCATCTCTTCAACGTCCACCAATGGAGCACTTCGCGTTGTCTTCGAAGACGCTTCGAACGCTACTGTGCATGGCGGCCCACCATTGTACACTGGATAAACACTACTTCACGTCCGCTTCGCTTCTGTTCCGAAAGATGGAGCAGCAACAACCGATAAAGGCGGAGGTATTGTCTGCGTGGGTCTATGTTTGCACCGCGGCAGGCGAGCTAGAGCAGGCTCTTGCGAACAGCGCGCAGATGGCCGAGCGTGAACTTGATTTTCACCCAGAGGTATTTGCTATGATGCAGAACCCCTCGCTTAGCCCTGCCACGTTGCACGAGAGGGCTGCCGGCCAGCACATCGCGAAAGGTATGTTGATGCGGCAGCGGCTCTGCAGGCGGATGTCGACGAACTACAATGCGGCGACCGTAGCACTACATGCCATGTTTGTTTACTACGCACTAACCCTTCAGCATAAGACGAAGTGGGAGCTTCTCTCACGCGCTGTTGGGGACTTTGGGAGTTCTGTTTTGTCAAGGCCGAATAGGTTGCTGTTTCTACCCGCGCCGCGTACGGTTCGGCTCGCGCTGCATATCTTCGCGCAGGAAAAAGGAGTACTTTGCGGGCCACGGACGGCCAAGGCCCTTGTGTATTGCCTCTGCAACGAGTGGACCGCGTCTTCTGCGGCCGAGGTCGCATTTGTATTGCTGCGCGTACGGCAAAATGAGGTGTCTGCAGCTTTTGGAGGGCTGCCTACGACAGCTTTCTCAGAGAAAGAAGCAGATGTGATTCGGACGGTGGTGAGGCGTCGTGCACAGACGGATGGCACTTTTCGTCTAGCTGCCACTTTGATTGGACACTTGGCAACGGGCCCTTGCTGGCATATGCATCCACGGGAGCCATCTTCTGGGTTGCGCAGGGGTGGCTTTTCCAACCTGGATATCGTTGGCAAAACGCACGATGCACCTTTGTATGACGACGAAAAGGAGCGAGTGAATAAAATTGACAAGCGACGTGCAACCCTACGCTCGATTCTATACCAGTTTCAACACATAGAACATACAGTAAACGGATTCAAGGAAAACAACGCTTCAGAGAGGATGGGAGGCTCTGCAGCGGACACAACAGAGAAGAGCAATCCGAGTTCTAACGTAGGAGGATTGTCTGCATCTTCCTGGTGTACCGCGGAGACTATTCCTGGTGCAGTGGGTGTTGTGGGAGACAGCAAGGAATCATGTTCGATGGAATTACCTGGTGTTACTCGCTCCGATTTCAGCCTAGCAGGGCAAGAAACTGTGGTGCTTGAATTTGTTCAAACACTGCGCAAGTTGGATCAGCTATGCAAGCCTAAGAATACGGCAAAATTCGGTGGTAACTCAATTCCACCCCTCCCCTTGGTGTCTGAAGGCGATTTAATCGACAATCCAGATGATTATCTGTTCAAAACGCAAAATCAAGAGGTTTACGATTCTAAGAAAATCAACAAAGTATTATCTCACCTCGACGCACACACCAGCCAGCGTGCATGGACGGAGAATATCTTGAAGGAAGAATTCGAGAAGGAACGATTACGACTGCATCTACCAAATGCTTGGATATACTTTGGATGATTCAATTGACCAGGATTCATCGTATTTTTTCGTTTTGTTACGAAAAGAATGGGTTACTTTACTACCCTTTTTATCGTGTTCTTTTGATTTTTCTATGGTTCCTGCTCATGTGGTTCGCATAGATCTTGTTGTGACGAATATGTGATTCCGAAACCCTGAATGTGGTGCTAAGGATAGTACATATTGTTCCAACTCTTACTCAAATTATGAGTATTCAAGTGAGGCAACAGTTATTGGTTGCCAATATTTTGAGGGCCTATATATATAATAGACACAATGCGGTAAAGGGTCGTAATGAGAGCAATCAGTCAGCTTATTCGACGACATTTTTGGTTCACATGCCAATTTTTAGTCGTGTTTCTTGTCGACTACATAATGATCATACTGCTTTTATCAACTTTTTTTAAATTTCTTCTCACCATTCCACCATATCCTTAGAATGGGACAAAAGGAATTTCCTGAGATTAATTGCCGCTAGCCCTTAAGAGTATAGATTGATGAAACATGGGGACTTTCTAAGCCAGTCTTTCCCCAAACAAGAGGCGGGTGCATTAATGCTCTTCATCAATCACACACAGAGGACGTAACTGTCATGTATAAGGCATTATGGGTTGAGTTCATTACCACCCTTCAGCTGGAGAAGCACAGGAAAGATTAACTGGCCGCACTGCCGCTTTGCTGCTCTGTATCCTCAGTACACAATGCCAGTGCTGATGCCCGCGTTGAAATCCTAAAGGAAGACCTTCAAGCAAGACGAAATATTTGTTTGAATTTTATTCCTTCCCAATTTCTTTGAGGAGCTCTTCCGTTAGAAGGCTAGGCTAAGCGTTTCGGGGAGGGGGTGGTGTAAATTGCGATGAGCTTTGATCCACACCCCGCCGAACGGTTCAGCAACAAGGATTTTTAGCGCATTCGAGCTCAGCTCCTTGAAGCTGTGCAACCACAGCCCCACAAATGTATTTACACCCCCATCCCTGGAGCTCTTTGCTGCATCAAAAGAGCCCATGAGTTGGTTGCAATGGGGCGAATGGCAGGACATAGAGTGAGCAGTATGTGTGCGCGGGCCATTTGTAATTATCTTCTTAAGCTGCAGCTGGTGCATTAGGTTTGTCAGGGTGATCGGTTGACCACGACTGTTCATACTTCATTATTGAGAGAACTTAAGCATGGTATTGCGTATTAATCAAATAGGGATAAAAAGGCCGTGCTCACCCCATCTATCTGATATTTCGCTTTCATGCAACCTTTTTCCAGCAACAGTTTGGACTTGTGCATGTAAAATGCATTATGTCTTCATAGTTCTAGTTCCTTGCGCCATGACGAGCACGAACCCCATTATAATTCATGTTGTTGCGCCTAATGTTGAAGTTCGCCGCTTCTCTTTTGTATAGAATCTGCATGCTTGTGGTTTGAAATATAATGAAAGGCTCGTAAACGATATGGAGAGTTCGTCCCACGCATCAGAGAGCTCTTATTAAACATTAATTTACGCTATGAAAAGGGCAGCTCACACCACAACCCCCCTTCCACCCACAAATTGTGTATATCCGTTGTTGCTTTTGGCAGCTGTTGTGACGTGTGCTTTGGCATGTGTGTTCACTTATCAAGCGCATTAAAAAAAAATTCAGAGGTGTGAGACTGACAAAATCCATAAGACACTGCTTAACATATGAACTCGGTCTCTGATCTTTGGGTGTTTGACGTTATGGATGCATTCGAAAAGGGATATAACAAAAGGAAAAAAATAGGTGTTGCTCCTCTGATGGGGCACACCTACACGCTCCTTCTCTGCAGATTTTTTTCCTACTGCTGCACGTTATGGGATAAATTTGATCACTTATTATTGACATTATAATGTTTTATTAGTCAGAAAGAATTGATTTTTTTTTCGCTTGCAGTGTCCTATGTGGTGTGTATGGTGCTGCTAAAACAGGCTAAAGGCATCCAAGATTGTTAGTTCGATTCCATTTGGCATAATTATGTGAATAGAAGCTAAAGGTCACCCAATAAAACAAGATACACGGCTTAATAGTATCTATGAAACAGCTTAGCGCTGTTCTTCTCGTTCCCATGTACGCGAGCCTTTTTTCTATTTTGCTTTGGATAAACAATTTGCTAGATATTTATATCATGTTCTGGTCGCTTTGTGTGCATGTGTGTGTGTGTGTGTGTGTGTGTGTGTGTTCGAAGGCTCCCTGATGCAACAAAATCTAACATTTCCTAACAAAACGACTGATCTTGAACCAGTGAAGGACGCCTAGAATACTGTTGACTGAGAGCTCGTTTACTCTTTCCTGTTTGCGTGTATGTGTGTGTGTGTGTGTGTGTGTGTGTGTATGCATACATATATTGTGTGGGTGGAAGGTGGTGGTTACATCTGATGTTTGTTTACAAGAGGTGAGTCCTTTTATACTCTTGGCGAATAGTATCGAAGAAATATTGTGAAGTATTGCTTCCATGTGGGATAAAAAGAATAATAATCGTTATTCACATGCAACAGAGTCTCTCTATGGCTAATTTGAAAAGGAAAGAGAAACCTTATATTTCCTCTCCCTGCTTTTTACTCTTGTGCTTATCTAAAACAGACGTAAATCAAGGAGTTTTTGCTAAGTCTGCCAGGAAGCAGAGAGGAGTAGCTAAATAAATATTCATAAACATTAACAATAAGCAAGCGGAAACATAAACAAGCAAGATAAATACAAATGGATCTCGACTTACCACCTCCTAGGCCAGTGCACATTCGTTTTTGTGGGCGGCCGGCCATCGCAACCGGTGTCGTCAATCTTCAGATTTTATTTGGGGAATTGAATTACTACCTTGTACAACGTGTAGAGGGAAAGAGTATCGAACTTGGCAATACAGCAGGTATCGAACCTATCCCACAACGCGCAGTCTCGGATAATGATTCTCGCTCTTCCTTTGTGTTATGCTCGCAGGAAGGGCTACCTACTGGGTCCTTTCACGTAGAAGAGGGTGGGGACTATTGGATAGCCAATGGAACCGAACACAGAGCCGGAATCACGCAGTCAACGATATCCGAAACAATTTCTGTAGGGAGTGCAAAGATGCAGAAGAGAGACTCAGAACCCGAAGGAGAATCATGTTATCATCCCGAAAAGGATGCTGCGCTAGATTGTGTTGAAAGCGAAAAAGCTTCTAGGAAACGGCATAAGAACGAAAAGCGTTTGGCAACGTTAGAGCCCAACCCTATTGCCTCGAAAGAACTCGAGAGTGGGGAACCCCCTCATGTGGCGCCTCACGTACACAGTCATAGTAAAAAGCATAGCAAAAAAAAAAGCAAAGGCCATAACCCGGACTCTCATGCACACGATGACGCGAAGGCAGACTTAGTAAACTCTTCTGAAGCCCTAGAGGAACCTTTGTGTGCAAAGTTCGTACCAATATTACTTCAAGAGCAGGATGAGCGGAATAATCCAATGCAAGAATCAACGCCTCCACTATCACACCCCGCCGCTTCCATCCCGGAGACACCGCAGGTGGTGGAGGATCGCATCCACGCAATTGCATCACATGGGGTCGATGAACCGAGCCTGGGGGAGAGGGCAAGGAGAAATAAAAAAGGTAAATCAGCAGAAGCAAGTGAGGTCTGCAAAAATACGCTAGACAAAGAGATAATTCGATCCAACAATGTGAGCGACTTCAATGCTTGTGTGCAGTCGGATGAGGTCCAATCGACGGATCGGCATCCTTTGCAGACGCCTCGATACAAACCCAGTGGTGGAGCGTCTAGCACAGAAGGATTGAAGGATAGCATATTGGCGTTCGAGGAGGATAAAAAGCATTTGACTTCACCCTCCCTGCCGTCTCCTGTTCGTAGAAATATGCCAAAAGCTTCTGAGCCATCCCTTCCAAGTGGACGTCCGTCGCCGCCGGCGGAAAGCCCCATGCTTGGATTATCCCAAATGCCCACCACGATTGTCGAGGAGTTCAGTTTAGACGCTTCAGCGGACTCCTCCTACGCAGGGTCCGAATATTTGTATGACGAGTAATAATACCTGCATAGAGCGTCCTTCACCTTTTCCCCTTTCTCTTTATATACACACTCCGGTGCATAGATGCGAATGGAGGGTCCATCCACCTCCGTACTCCTTTAAACTTTTTTCCCTTTACAAATGACCAAAAAACAGTAGCACAAACGATTAAAAAATACGCATATCGAAGCACTAATTTTGGATTCTCTTTATGTGCTTTCTCTGTCCTCTTTCTCCCTTTATTTTTTTTTCCAGAAGCCTAATCTTAGAAGAAAAGGGAAGATCTAAAACATGAGTACAGTGATAGATTCGTCGCACGCTGCACAATTTCTAGACGATCTTTTACGCCGCAACTCCACTGTCCTCATATCCGCCACATACTGCCAATTTTCCACGCAGATTAAGAAACTACTGATTGAGCTAAAGCGCCGTTTCGTCTCAGTTGAAATCGATCTTGTGCCGAACGGCCTACAGATTTTCCGAGAAGTAGTTGCCCTAACGGGCGTGCACACGGTGCCACAGCTCTTTGTGCAGGGGAAGTACCTAGGTGGGTATGACGATATTGTAGCTTTGTATAGGAAAGATGCACTATCCTCAGCGCTTGGGAAACGTAGCTTGGCGCGATAAAGGAAGGGAGAGGGGGAGTTGACATTTATTGATGTGCATGACTTTAGGAGTTTACTGGTAGTTTCATTAGAAGATGATTTATTAGTTTACAAAGAAAGAAGGGGTATGTGGTCTTGTTAGGTCAGGTTGGTTTATCCAGTTTATGATAGTCATTATCACTGCGCTGCTATTTCATAGCACATTTAAAGGGTGTGCGTGTATGATTTTTAGTATGAAAAAGGATATACATGTTTCTTTTTGTCGTGAATTTACTGCATGTCGATCAAATATATGTAATTACCGAAAGTATGGTTGTCCCTTGATATTTTGCTTCGTTTTCTCAACGACATCTCAGTACCTTATCTTTCCAGCACATATCTTCAGTTTCCTGAAACTCGAGCCACGTATCAATCAAAATGATAGAGTGCGATCCAATTGGGCACCAACAGAAATCAATGTTGGAGCGAACAGTATCACTGATGCACCTTGTTTCGTTGTCGGATTCAATTGAGGATGCATCCGAGGACATGAATATGTCGAGGCAGTCTGCAGGAAGTAGATTTGGTGTATATTCTGAATGTTCTTACACACCAATGAGCAATTCGGTCGCTTCCCAAAAAGATTTAGGCGTGGACCTGTTTTTGGAGTCACCACAACATCAGCTGTTTCTTCAATCAGTTTCCGTTAATAACTCTTTCCCTGAAAATCCCATCAATAAACAACAAAGCATCTCGGTGAAGGATTCTATCGAATACAAAGAGCCTCTCGTCTCATCGGCTCTTTTGCCTTCGCCTCCACGAATTGTAGACATTGGTCACATCAGCGCCGAACCGAGTACTTTAATACATGAAGATTTAGAAGAGAGCTCCCCCGGCGATAGTAAACCTATTGAGACAGAGAGTAGACGCATGAACGTCTTGGAGGTTACGAATCCTGTCCCACACGACCAAGATAGGGAGCAGAATTCTATGATGTTTCAAATTACGAAAGGAGGTGTGAATGCTGATATTCCTCCAGTAGCGCGTGGCCCGCAGCCACCCTGTGTGGAGCCCACAAGGTATCGCAATGGGGAGCGCATTCGCCCGGCAGCTCCAGCCCGCACTATCACCACTACCGATCCTTCCAAGCCTAGTGGGTCAGGAGCCCAAACTAATCCCAGGAAGGGGAGCATCACGGGTCCTTTACATCCTCAATTGATAGGTGCGCCTATCAATTATCCTGGAGTAGCATCAAGAAACGGTGAAAGGATCAACGAGGTACTTCGGAATAAAATTGGCAACAACGTCTGCCCTACGAATTTCGGTATGCCATGGGGCGTAAGACGTGGCAGGCTAGACAGGGTTCAGTACGGGCAGGCTCGACCTCCCCCCTTTTCCATACAGCCACAACCCAAACCACAAACACAAACTCAACCACCGCCGCTCCAACCAGGCGCGCTCGGCACGGGTTCGAGGCCGACAACAAATGATGCTTCTGGCGCGCAAAGAAAGGTGGAATGTAGTAGGAAGAAAAAGGCTATCCGAACGACCGTTGGAAACGACTCTAGTTGGTTAAAGGATTTAGTTTATACGACGTGGGTCGATACGCCCAAAGCCTCAAATGCGAAGGGTGGTCAAAAGCAACTTAGTAAAACCACTAGGATGGAACCAGCAATTCAAAAATCTGTTAAGATGAACTTTTTCAAAACTGTTTGCTCCTTTTTCTCAAATAAAAAGAGTACCTGACAAATTGATTCTAGGAATTGCGTACAAAGTTATTTATTCATTCGTGTTTTGTACGTATATTTGTAGATATGTATGCGTATATAATTGGATAAGTGTGCAGTTTAATGTTTACTTTGTGTATCTATAAAACGATACACCATAGCTTTTACTTCTTTATAGTAAACATGTTGAGAAGCTACTGAGGTAGCTACAAAAACGACACATAGCTATCTTCATCATCGTGTTAAGAGTTTTTTTTTACAGCTATTTACTAAAGGTATTCACGTTGTTATTTTTTCCCACTTGTTTGTGGGAAAAATGACGCTATACTCTGAGCTCAACACCTTTAAGACGGATGATTTGAGGGAATTTTTCTTATTTTTTATTTGATCGGAAGTGTACTGATGAGGTTTTGCATCCCATATCCATCGTTTATGTCTGTCTTTGACTAAATAATTAGACTTGCATTATTTTAATTATTTTGTGAGTCTTAACATGATATATTACAAAAGGGTTCAAAGTAAACATCATATTAGACAGATGAGATGATATGTGCACATCCAACCTTTTGTTTTTTTATTATGTTTTGTTCTAATGACGCGATACTTATTATGTAAAGAACCGCATTTTCAAAAAATAGTAGATCAATGCCCATTCTGGTTAATATAATCCATGGGTTACTACCTTAAGCAATTTTCTTGTAAATTACCTATGAATTTGCATTTTTCCCTTTCAAGGGACATGCACTTGTGCGATACAGATATATTTACTGATAGGACAAATTTAAATATTTAATATTACATATTTTGCTGTTTAAAAATGAAATTGATATCGTCTGTCAGTGATTTGAAATAGGTGAATTTGTTCTTATTCAATCCATATTATGAAGAACAATAATGCTACAAGCATTGTTAATTAATCCAAAGGTAAAGTAAGGATTTCTTTGGATTAATTGGGGGAGATTCTTATAGTTGATGCCGAATTTCCTGAGCCATATGCACTTTCAGATAAATCTCTGCTTTTTGGGGGATATTTTTTCAAAATTTATCGCGTCATTTTAAAGGAATTCTTGACATAAAACTCTTCATATATTGTATATAGATTCCTTGAAAATAAGCTGTTAGTTGGAAAAGGAAAATTTCGTACTATAATCATATTTAGCCGTTTCAAAACGTCGTCTTTTATTACCTAAGTTCTCAGAATAGGATTTATTTATTGAGAAACAAGTTGACAAACCGCAGGATCTACACTGTAATCCGCGTTGTCACTTTTTTCTCAACCATTGAGAGTTATAATTCTATGACTTTAGAGATGAGTTTTAATTTTGATGGAGGCTATGATATACATATGAGCCCGAATGGTCATGTACATGATCCGATTGTTTGTGTAGTCAGTAAAGCCCTACCTGTAAGTTCCAAAGGGACACCCGGTAATTCAGGCCGCAGTTCAAACCCCTCTGAAAAAAGCTCCTTTCCTCACAAGTGGCGGATGAGACTTGGATCATACCCGCAAGGAAGTCCCTCTTCGTGTGATGCGACGATGAATGATGTGACGCAGCATACCGCTCAAAGGCCCTCCGTGTGCACAAAGGATGATCCCTTACACAACAATCGCAACGTTCTCCGCGGAGTCAACCATGGAAAGCGAGAAAATAGTTCTGGTATTTCTCGAACATGTGAATTGTCTAGTCTATGCGTGGAAGGCGGTCAGCTGAAACCGAAGCTGCGCAACCAATGGAACCCGCGGCGGTATTCAACCAGTCCTGAGTCTGTCGTCGAGGCCTCACCCCTGCGCTTGCCCAACATCATGCAACAGAAACACATTTCACATGTAACATCTGGATCAAGGGTGAAGGACACGAGTCGGGATCCAGTAAAAGGAAGTCCCTGGCAGCAGACTGACGCCGCTATTGGCAGTGGTGAGACGCAAGACCATTCCAACGACATCTCGAGAGGCTCTCATCAGGACGCAAATCCCCTCCCCTTCACAAAGGCCCGAAAGGATGGCAGGTCGAATTCAACGAAGTCCCCCTTTAATCAGAAACCAATGGACGATGATACGCAGGAGTACCTAAGCGGCTATAGTCTGGATCACACGGAAACCTCAGCGACCGACTCCGAGGTGGCCACAGACTCACGTAAAGCAAAACATACCGACATGATGTTGAAATTTCGCTACCCGAGCAAGGATGGCGGCGCTGTTAAGGGGTCTTCCCGTATTTGGGGGTTGAAAAAGAACCGCGCGCCTCCGCTGGATTTAAAGCTGTTGGAGTTCCCCAACTGTAGCACGGACTCCGTAAAGGAGGAGGCCGAAAAGGGAGGGCCGCCCTTGGATCCTGAACGCCTCCCGAGCCACGCGCCGCCAGGGCAGCAACCGCGAAACCGTCAGGTTCCCTCCATCCCCCCGAAAACGGCGCGGATGAATGACCGAGCTAAAGAAACAGACGCCGGCGCCACGGAAAGGGCTTCGGGATCTTCCAGTACGAGTGATTCGCTCGTGATAGCACCGCCCTACCTGATGCTGCCACTCCAGTCGGGCGGTCAGGGTACCAGTAAGACGAAAAGTGCGAACTCGAGGCTTGAAAGCGAGGACCATCCCTGTTGTGATAGCAGTGGGTTTATAAAGTATAGGAAGTCTGGATCGACCTCGCCCTATGGCCGGATGGATTCATTTAGCATGAGTGAGCATTTACAATATTCCTACACCATGTTAACGGCCGAAGTAGCATCCGAGGCGGAAAGTGCCCAAGTTGTTGATTTGAAGCTTACTCAGGGGACTGTCCCATTACAGCCTTCACGCTTTCACGACACGTTGAGTGAGTGGCAGAACAATGTGCAGGTGCTTTCTTTTCAGCCCATTGAAATGCGCGGGGGGGATCCATCAGGGAAATATCTCGAACATCAGTGGTATCCACGACCAAAGCTCGGCCATGTCAAACCCGAGGTGGCTGGTGAAAGTATCGAGATGAACGAACAGCTGCACAACGATATCATTCATCTAATTCAGAAGCACCGGGATTTAGTGCTGGAATACCCTTCTAAGCTGCCATGCGAGCTAGATGAGATGGTGCGCCACCGCCGCCCACGCACTCCGCGCAGCTTTTACGGTCCTTCTAAACCCAAAGTAGGGAAAAATTGGTTCCACGATGCCATGAAAAGCGTTCCGCGTGTACCTTCGCCAGATTTGAACAGACTTGATAGAGAGGATGCTGCCGCGAAAAACAATGGTCGTGGTGCGGTGGTAGTATAGTGGAAAATTCAAGGGATTAACGCGCGCTAACACTATGTAGCATATTTTTATACACGTGTTGCTCTTGTGGGAGGTGAAACAGCAGTGGTGTTTCACCTTAGACGCATGAATTAGTAAAATATACAAATAAGTGGTAAATGCTTGCTATACTTTTGAGTATGAACTAAAAAAAAATGTAACATCGTTTATTTTCTTAAACTCATATTTTATTGGAAAAATAAAAAAAGAGGGAAAAAGTTTTGCTTTGCAAAATCCAACTCCTTGATTTCTGCTATTCTAACTTTTTGTAGTCGCATAGTGTTGTTTTCTTTCTTTTTGTTGTGCGTTCATATATCTCTTGAGACTTTGGTCCTATCCTCATATATCCCAGCCTTCCCTTTGCTATGCCAGCTTTGAAGCGCAGCATAAGGATAGCCCTAAAGACATCTTGGACTAATATCTGATATTATAGTTGTGGTGATGGAGTCATGATGGTGGTCCACATCGAATGATGCTTTATTTTATTACTTTTAATCTATAATGTTTTTTTTTCACTTTTACTATGAGTTTTCGCTCGCAATTGATCAATAAATAGATACGAGTTACTAACATTGTGTGGTTTAATATTTGGAAACCGCTTGAATCATTAGTTAAACGCTTTCATGTCATAAATGTTTGCACTTTACCATTTATCTAAGCCCCTTTGAAGCTATTTTGTTGAATCAAGAATTAAGGATTGAGAAGCTCCATATAGAATGCGATGGACCCACTCATCTCCGATCATTCTTTGTATTTCTTTAGTGTACTTCCCATCTTTCTTGAGACACTTTATGGATAAGCTTTCCCTTATATGCAACAATTTTCATTTGAATATGTTTGATGTAATGTTCTTTGAATACACTATGTCATATAGGTACAATTTGGAAAAAGAGGAAGTTATCAAGTATGCTTTTATCTCACACTACGAACTTATCCTACTAAAGCTTTTTAAATTTCCGTATAGTGGTATTGTTAATTTAATACATTCTTTATTATTCCCCCTCTCTCTCCTCTCTCCCCCTTCCCCCCCTCTCCCCCTTCCCCCCCCTCTCCCCTTCCTCCACACACATTTATAGATCTTTGTTGAGCTTTCATTCTGCTTCGGCGAATGCAAATATACTGGTGTGGGTTGCTTCATTCTCCTCACATGCCTTTAATGTCATGGTCTTTTTGGTTGCGCATGTTGTGGCCTAAGGTGAAGTACATTCTTGGACACCAGTGACTATTCCTATATGAACCTTAATATAAAGCATCAACTTTTGTATAAATAAAGACTTATCACACATCTGTGGTGGTGTATATATATCGATCTATATATTTATATATGTCTGTGTCTGAGCGTATGCAATATGTACTACGAGAACAATAGCTTAAAATATACTGACAAAATAGAATATTACCCAGGTGATATATTCATGTGGACATCTCCCTTCAAGGAAGCACCGTGTTTTTATAATGAGAATCTGATGTGTTTTTTTTACCTAAATGCGGTACCATTTTACATATAGTGACTTAAGCAGTTTAATGGTAAGAAGAATTCTTTTCATCAGTTTATTCTCATACATGCAGAAAGTAAAAACACACAGGTGTTGAGAAAGGACGTTTCTTGAACTCTAAACAAAATTCAAGCGACATTATTTCGGGACGTAGTGAATCAATTATCAAGATATTCTATACTGGAGTGAGCATTAAGGGGTGGCAAACTTAAGTTATGGAATAAAAAGATTATTGATACGTGAGCTCTGAAAGAATTGTGCTGAAAGGGTGTGTGAAATAGAAAGATCTACTTTAGATCAGATAATTTCCCCCTTGATATTGTGATTGTTGTCATTGCTCACGAATAAAAGGGCATATAAATCTCAAAAAAATAGCTTTTTAAAAATGTGCATTACGGTGAATTTGATAAACTGAACTCAATTAGTATCATATTTATGTATATATGCATTAAATACATTGTAAGAGATCTCTTTTTCTTACGTGTGTGTCGAACATAATTGATGCTATCAATGGTCACATTTGTTATCGATGCAATATTTAGCTTCTTCCCATGACAATGTACTAGAAACATCTGGCGCATTGAACCTGTTGTTTTTGCATTTTTTTACTTGGACTCGACAAAACTTTTTTGATCAACTTTTCCCCCTTGCCGCTATGGTAAAATTGCGGTATGCCAATGGAAAAAAGGTACCGAAGGGGTGGATCAAACTTAACTTTTTTTCTTTGATTTGGCTTCTTTCCTACGTTTTTCCCTCATTTTTGTAATTGACGTTTCAGCGACGCATCTTTAAGTTCTTGCAAGTTGTGTTTGTGAGAATGTTTTCCAAACATATGGTGATTTGTTATATCCCGCTATATCATCTTGCTACTTCACTGTATCCATTGCTTTTGCTATTTTGCTATAGAATCGTTGAGAAGGGGGTGACATCATTTAATGATATACCTTGAAGAGTGAGCATCAAAGAACACTGACAATCAAAGCGTCAAATATTAAACTAATTATTATCAAACCGAGAACATAGGCTAGATTGCATTCGTTCAAGTGTTATCAGCCTCCCGTTCATACACAAAGAACACGTAGAATTGTTAAAAGCCACCCATCCCGAAAACATCAGTAGTGGTATTCTAAGGAGGAAAAGACGACAACGTTCTCTTTGTTCCGGAGTTCATTTGGTGCAACATACTCCTTTTAGGGGAGAGGACAAAAGTAGCACCAGTTAATGGAGCCAGCCCATGTCAACGACAACTGCTTCTATGACGATAGTATGAATCCTATGATGATGGGAGACGTCTTTTTTCATGAACGCTTTGATTCGAAAGGAAGCAGCGTGTCTTCGTTGAAGGGCGCTCATGCGCAAAAGAAGCAAGGCGCCAACGATGCCATGTACACAGGGGAGCACACACATATGGGGTATAATGACTCATACCCCTACCCGAATAATAGTTATAACGTCAACCACGCCCAGGGGCACAATCGTGGTGAAAACCACGCGAACCAAGGCATCTCTAGTAATGTCTACTCACCCAATAGTGAAAGCAATAGGAATTACTATGACAACAGGTCTAAAGGGAAGCCATACAACTCTGTGAGGTCCTCTCGAAGGAATATGTGCGATGGATATTTCCCGGTTTATGAGTCATTCATGGACGGAAACTCCGAAATGCCTGAGATGCTTTCCAAAAACTGGGCTGATGTGGAAAGGGATCGTAGAAGCACCAAGAAATTGTCAGGGTATCGTGGCAGCCAGCGGAGCAGTAATAGCAACTATAGCCTCGCTTCAATCGGGGCGACCGGGCTTCCTTCTCCTGTAAAGCCGTTCCATTGGGTGCCAAATCGAACATTTTTTGGCTGCGATTACGAGTATGAGAATCAGCAACACTCATTTTTACATGCAGCTCTAGTTCGATATGGCCAGCAGCAGCAGCGGCAGCATGAGCTCAACTACAGAAATGCCATCGGCGGATATCCCCAAGGCGCATACTATGCCAACGGTCCACCTCAAAGTGAATACCAATGTAACAATGTGTATAATGAAAATAGTGGATCAATCGACAATAACAATTGTGAAGATGTCCCAGACGACCTTCCCGTTGCGTGCATCGAATCGAGCACAAAATTGTCGTTCCATGGCCCTATCGGCATACTGGGCCATATTGCTGCGAAAAAGTACCACAAATATAAGGATAGTATAGAGGCTGCAGATATGAAGGACCGGGAACTTAGGTTGAATGTATGGTGTGATTGGGATATTTTACTAGAAGCGACGTACGTTGACTCCCCCAGAAGGATCGATGAGTTGGAAGACAATAAGGAAGAGTCACAAGTTGAGGAAATACACGAGCAGAACCCCACAAATCATAACGATGGAAAGGCGCCGGTAGGGCGAAAACATGCCGCAGGGGCGGGCGTTTCTGGAGCAGTATCCGGAGCAAACGAGGGGTTCGCTCCGAAAGCTCAGAACAAGCGTCACGGACAATCCAAAAAAGAAGGAGATGCTCACCATGACATGTCACATGCGCAGAACTGTAGCGGAAATATATCACCTCAATTAGAAAACAGTTTTGAAGTGTACCTCTGTTCCAACTCCATGATGGACTTATGGGATCACGGTGGAAGGAGCGGCTGTGGATCCCTGTGCTATTCTGATAAGAGTCTCGCTAAGAGTACGGTTGCTCTGACGATGAACGCTCCTAAAGCTTCACCGGGCTCTCATAAAAGCGTGGAAGAGCCTGCGCCCCCACTGACATCGTATGATTCGGGTGAAGGTGACAGTCCTTTAAACGACTTTACACTTCAGAAGCGTTGTTTGGAACAACAGCGCCTTAATAGAAAGAAGAACCGTACCTTTGCACGACGGGTTAAGAAAATTTTAAACAAGCTGACCTTTGGGAGTCTGTTCTGCAGCAGCGATGAGGTGCATTATTTTGTAGGTGTGGATTCAGATTCCACATGCAGCGGTAGCACACGGAATACCAGCACTGACATCAATATTCACTCAGGACCATTTAAGAACACTGATCCAACGCGGGCGCTTGGGGGTCCTCTGGACGCAGACGATTCCCGAACTCAATCTGTAACGAGTATACGCATGCCTGCCCTTCTACCCTCCGGCAGAAGACCCCCCAAATACACGAAGAAACAAAAAGAAGCCGTGGGACCTGCTGATTCGGAAACCAAATTAGAGGGGGGGGTGCCAACTACCATAGGTGGAAACTACACCTGCTATACACTGAGTAACTTCATCGTTGCGGAGTCTTCAGGGCAGATAGCGGCTCCACAACCTAATCGCGGTGTAACGAACCCTAAGGATAATAATGCCCAAAATAATAATTCCACCAACGACAACAAATCGAACCCACCACCACCCACCACCAGTCATTCAGCCCAACCTATGATAGTGGAGAAGAAGGAGGTAGATGCTACAAAGCCGGCCCAGGAGCCCATCAGCGTTAACGTCTCAAAGATTGGCGTCCCTGCCAAGCTGCCGGTACTCTCGAAATCCAACTTCCAGAGTCCTTCCTCTTCGTCTAGGGACTTCGCCAAGAAGGGGGGACTGGCGCCGGTGGAGGCCGGCAAGCCGACCGTGACCCTCTTTGCTAACGGCCCTCGGGCCTCCGAGTCGCGTGAAAAGGGTGCCCCAGACAGACCAAAGAGCGAGAAGCTTCCTAACGATGGTACGGAACTTACGCCCCATCCACCTTCGGTCGCGCTACCAAAGCTATCAAAGCAACTTCGTGATCCATCGAGTTTGAATAGTGGGAAAAACTAAATTAAAGTAGAAATTCGATTGTGGGGTAGCTACAAACGGGGTTGAGATGGGAGATAAGTCGTGATTATTATTTTTTTCTCTAACTGTTCGAGGTTTGTTTCATCATAAAAAGTTTGAAAAGGTAACTCATCAGTAATACATACAGCAACCATGATTTAAAAAAAAACATGCCATACCATTGCAGCGTGGGATAACATTATTTTCGTTTGTTTGTTTTTTCAAGGCGTTTAACTTGAATGCTTCTTCAATGGAGATTGATACATATATGTCAGTCGTAGGTCGTGGTAGTGATGTTTATGTTATATTTTTTCCCTGTTGCTTGCGTGCATGTAAATAGCAACGTTTACCTATTTCGTTACAACCAAGTATAAAAGGAAGGGAGTAGATTTTCCTTAAATATCATTGTATTCCTTGTTTGCATAAGTGAATTTAAGACGTTTTTTACCATTTTTTTATTATTATGTATGAGTCATAATTCTTTTTCATTTATGCGATTCCTCTTCAGTATGTGCTTTATGCATTATATATATATAAGAAATTCGTTGTTTATATATATTTTTTATTAAATTTTGTTATGTGCATTGCATATTTGTGTTATTCGCATTATTTTTTTCATAAATTAAATTTGCATTTAAATAGAAGGAGTGGTTTGTCGACATTTGCAAATAATGTCTAATTGAATTATTTATTTCAATACATTAGCAACAATTAGTTTTTTTCACGTACACACGTTATAAAGATCAACCACGTACATTTTGCTTCTGTTCTTTCTGAACATACAAATGTATATATATATACATATATACATATGTTTCGTCGTACGAATGTTAACAATATCGTACTCAATACAAAAATCGGAAGTCTCTTTTCAAATGCAAGCTAGCTTGTCTTGAATTTAAAATAAAAATTGCGAATAAAACTATAATGTATGTGATTTCTGTTATCGGTGTCGCCGCTAGTAAGTTGTTTTTTTGCTTAGTTGCCCCCAACATGCTGTTCTTACGAATGCATAAAAATGTTCAAAAACATACAAAAGTGCGCCCTTTGCCCCTGTATTCTTCTCACTGTCGATAGACCCACAACATGCGCGTTGTCGGAATTCGCATTTAACATCGTATGAATTTAGATTATAGGGTAACTAAGCATATATCGTTTAAATGTAGTACGGCTTTGCTTTGTGCTAGTTTTGAAAAGATATATTAGCAATATGACTCTAATACATCGGTGCTTCTTTCCCACTTTCTGGCTTTATTTAATGAAATACAGCCCATCGTAGCTTGGGAAGTTAACACTACGTATATATATATTGCAGTTTTCTCTACTGCTTATTTCTTTTATTTGTGTTTCTTAGTTTCCAGACTCTTTTCTCGATGTTTAAGTCGGGTTTTTGTTAATTAACTTATTGGTAGTATGCCTTTGAGAAATCAACTAATAAGATACACAGCAAAAAATGTTGCACATTTACTTTTAATACTAGTGAAAAAGGTGAATTGCGATGAACTCAGGGTATTATCAGGTGGTTATGATGCTCTTTCCTTGCCGCTTGCCTCTTGATCGTATCTCTGCCCTTATTTTCTTCTTAGATTAGTATTTTATCTATGCAGGGTTGGAAGCACCGAATATCAGGTACCGCACCCTTGCATAATTCTACGTTGTTAGTGAAAAGGAGAAGTAGTTTAGCTGTAGTGACGACATAAACTGCTTGTTTTATGTTTAGAGTCTACAGTCTATTTGAACTGCATCAGCTTATGCCACTTAGCCCGCTCTTTTATTCTCCCCTCTGTTTCCCCTGTTTCATTGCCCTTTCGAGATCATGTATGTGAAGGGACCTTTGCATTTGCATATTGTTGTAAATGCTGCTATTTTTCCCACCGACAATTGGTGCCTATGCTCTTGGGTAAAGCCAAAACCTATTCTGGATATTGAAGAGTTTTTCCGATACAACAAAGGATGCTGCACCGCTATCAGCTCTTTTTGACCCTCAGCTTGAGCAGCTTTCCGGGATTATATGTGACTTGCTTCTTTATTCGGTTGAGTTGATTAGTTTTTACTTCACATTTTTCAAGGAGGTAGTATCTCATTGTTGTATCCTCTAAAAATTAAAACAAGGTAAATTTAGGTGGTGAAAGAATGCTAAGCTATGAGATTTCCTTCCATGTGCGTGCTTTGGAAAAAAACCTTTTGGCGACTCCGAGCACGAGTTGAAACTTTTTTGTTTACTTAGCCCTTGTGGTATTCTATTATTGTCGTATAATAGTTTTTATACACTAGAAAGAAAATTATTAAAAATAACTTCTATAACAAGAGTACGATTTACTCTTTATTCTCAAGGATATATCAAAGATTTCTATAGGTGTAAACAAATATAAAAGCAGAAATTATAGTTGAAGATAAAACGGCTGTCAGCTCTGATTTCTTGCGTTACTTTCCTCGAGGATTTAAACACATTCCCAACGTACACGCAAAGGAGGAAAAGTGCAGGAACTAGGAGATCTCATTTTAAAAAATATTTTCCATTCACAAAAGTGTACAGATTATTTGCGCATTCGTGCATAGCTAGTATATATAGACAATCAATAGTGGAATAATAGAGATACACTGTATCTATTTTCTGATCTAGTGCTTCTCTGCAATATACCAAGGGGTTTATAACAATATGTATCGTCAGAATATTCCAAACTATCGACGTCCTCCTCACTATAATCCAAATTATAATCCTGCTTGGAAAGGCCTGCAGCCGTGTTTTCCACAGTTCAATCGTAACCACTGCTTAGGTTCAGGTGGGAACGCCAGAGGGGGGAGAAATAACATAAGGTTAGGTAATAATGAAGCACAACGAGGTCGTACGCCATGCAAGGAAAAATGGTGGGCTTTCGTCACAAATTTGATCAAATGGGTGAATAGCCCACGTGATTTTAACTTAGACAGCGAAGACGATGTCAAGGAAGCAGTGCCAGTGAAGCCGATATTTTTGGCAAAGGCGCAAGCCCGCTGCCATCCTACATCACCCCGCGGTCGTCAAAGGGAGCAGCCTAATTGCGGCCGGCAGCAGGCCATAGCTCACCCCACTCCCTTAGAAAATCGCTCATTTGCGTCTTACTATGACGGGATATATGAATTCGGTGAGATAAAACTCAAGGAATCGCCTCTTGCCCAAGTGGAAAGCATGCCTGTGATGGATCAAAAGTCTTTGACGTGCCCAGTGTCGGGACCAACTCCTGGATTGAATGATCCTTCTGATGATTTTTTTTCGGATGCCCGAAAAGGTTCGGTCGCCCAGGACTTGACGAATGTGATGCCGTGTTTCCGCACAGGCAATGACCTGCACGCTTTTCTGGGGAACTCCAACGAACGTGGAAGGGGGGAAAGTGACGCTTGCAACCCTTCCGAATCCATACCTCAGATGAGATCCGAAGAGCACTCAAGAACCTCGCCACTATTCGGTAGTAGCATAAATGGCGTACCAGACTTTCTAGATGTCGCCTCAAAAGAGCCTAAGAATGATGACGGCATGAGAGAGAGATCATCGTTTCGCTTTGAGGGCAAACCCAACAATAAGGACGCACCCTTTCTCGAGGAAAAGGGGTTGTCTTATCAGGACAAAAAAGAAGTGCATAAATTACACTCCAGCTACAACCTTGGACAATCCTTCACATATCTAAATGACAACATAGAAGCGGGATATACTACGATCCAAGCCCTCCAATCGGCCATGGACCAGGCATCAACAAATGGCCTTTACGAAGAGGGGGGTACAAAACCGTCCATGAGTTCTAACAAGGACAACGAGTCTGAAAATCCCCGTGGGGGAACCCTGGGGGTATCGGCACCTGGTAACATTACTCCTTCAGCTATGGCTCTGAGATCCAGGTCAACTATGTACGTCGATAAAAATTTGAACAACGGCATTCTTGATTTTCGAACGAATAAGGAGTCATTTTGTGGGGTCCCAAACTATGACTTTGCCGGTGATTTTGGCTATGATGGATTACAGACAGTTCCTCAGGAATTGAAATCGGTGGTGTCCCAGGTGGGCAACTCCTCCAGTGGTTTCCCGCTGCACACTGCAAGACCTTCTACGAATGCATTGACTTCATACACTATTCAGGGTTCATTTGTGCTCCCACTGAAAGCTTCAGATCTGTCGTGCGTGCAGCCGCCTGATAAATCTATGAAACAGGAAGCTAATGAAGCCTTTGGAAACCCTTTAGATGGCAGACATTACGATTTTGGTACTGGTGATGGAATTCATACCCAGTCACTTTCCACTTCTTCAATTTCTACCTCAGACTTACGATCGAAGAAAAGGGTAGAGACTGCTTCAATTCCTCACCCCGTAGTACCGGCAAAGGATTCTGGCTCTTCACGATTTATAGATAGCAAGTTCACATCTACTGCTGAGGATATTGATGAGATCGCTAAACCTTATGCGTGTAAGGAAAATTTATTGGATAAAAATCTGAAGCCTAAAGTGATGATGTCCAAAACTACTTCAGAGGCTCCCAATATCAGGGGCTCATTGGAAGCAAAGCCATACAGCATCCCCACGCGTGAGGCGGTGATTCCCAAGGGAAATCCGAACACTAGTGAGGCACCGCGCACCAAGGATTATTTAGCTTTTATATCTAAGCTACCATCATCCTCTGATAACGTTAAGGTGAAGAGAGGTTCCATCGTTGAATGTGGTAATAACTCTGCCTCAGGAATGACTAATTGCAAAAATGACAGTATGTTAACGTCAGAAAGCAAAAATATGGACTACAGCAACGTAACGAGACCTGACGTAAAAGATAAAAGCCCCGATAATCTCAGTAAAATGCCTTACTCTGCTCTACTACCGGTTCTGCTCTATGAGATAACGAAGGTAAATCGACAGTTTGCTGAACCTCACAAGACATCGAACTTGGAAGAGCAAATACACACACCTTCTGTGAATATAAAATCAACCCAAGTACCGTCGCCTCCTACGCTAAAAAACGAGGGTCACTCTAATGACAAAGAGGCACCAAAACAGACTCGTAGATCACCTTTATTACCTGCTTTTCGTAAAGACAATCGCTCTAAGTAGTCAAAAGAGCCGAAGTCTTATCTTTCTCTTCATACGGATAAACATTCAGGAAGGACAGATATGTTACAACGGTAGGGATTACTATGAAACGATACCCTTTGTCTGACGTTCTAAGGAGAAATACTAATGCATTATCTCTCAGAAAGGTCGACTAATATGCAAACGGTAGGTTTAAGTAGGACACTCTTCAGGAAGTCACAATGCTCAACCTCATAATAGGGAAAAAATGTGCGCTTCAGTAGACTCCACTGTAAAACGTTTACTAAATCAAGCACCTTCCACTCATTCAATATGGAAATGAAAAGGGATGGTCTCTTTTAATTGTTTTTTATTTTCAAAAAAAAAGTGATAAGTGGTCTTTAGAACTTGTTTCTGAAGCTATTTTTGTAAATTAAAAACGAAATGATGAATCTCAAAAAGTCATGTGTGCGAGAATGGGATTTATTTAACAACATGCCAAGGGAAATCAAAAGTTGAGCTTTGGTGTTGACTACCAAAGTACCCTTGGCGAATGTCTTTTCCCGTAGCTTTAGCATATTATTATGATTGTTTTTGGTCTTGCCTTCACTATATTGTCTTACATTTTTACTTTTATTAATACAATTTAATAGAACACTATAATTCAATAACAAGGAAATGTTTCGAATCTTGAGAAAAGGTTCTTGCGCATATTTCCTCGTATTTAAGGGGGTAAAAAATATTGTGAATATTTTGTTTTATACTGTTATTTTTCGCTATTGATTCTTTCAACACGTATGCATGTGCATACATAACATTGTAACTTGATCTCAGAGTACTTATTTATTGTTATTTTAAAAAAATTCTACTTACTACTCCCTTACATTTGTCTTAGCATAATTTATATTGTCCAGACCTATGTGAATGTTGCAGTATACTCTGTGGTGCTATTATTATTTGTATGTGAGCGTCTTAATAAATCATCACTGGAATTGCCATAGCTTATGAAGATGTATATTTTTATTAATTTTTTTTTTGCATCACTTTACTACACCTTTTTCGTTGACATATCTTCTTTGTATCAATGCCTTTAGATTTGTAGATCTGATGTACGCATCTTCAATGCATAGCAAGATACCAAAGATGGGGTTAGTAGTAGTAATACAATAATGAAGTACAATTTCCTGTGTTCATACTAATCAATGTACTGCGTAAAAATATCACTTTGATGTAAAATACGTGAGTGTGGTAGTCATATTGGATGCAGTTGATTCTTTTTATTGAATACGTATATTTATTTTTCTCAATGTATGGATATATGTTCTTCTTAACAATCTACATGAACTTTTGCATCGTGACTTCGATATTTATCTATATTTGTATTCTTATTTATGTTCCTATTTCCAGATCAATTCATTTTTTTTTGTCTTTTTCGTAAGTGGTGTGTTGCTTCAATTTCAAAATGTGTAGCCTTGTGCTACACATGTGGGCATTTTTATTTATTCGTCCTTTTGATCCATATAAAAGATGAGTGGAAAGCTCCAAATTATGACAAAGACCAGGTTTCTTGTTGAGGTGGATCAATACATGCAGGAAATGTGGATATGAAGAATAAAAAACATATTTTAACATCTTGATATGTAAATATACATATACTTGTTTAAATGTATTACTTATATATAGTACTTCACAATGAGGCCTAATACAAAAACGGAAATTATATTGAGTTACTGTGGTGCGTCTGCTTCGATGGGTTTAATTCTTTACCTTTCTGTAATTGCAAATCATTTGTATCATGCTTTTTATAAGAGTGTTGTTTTTCATTCTACTATTAACTTACTCTTCTCATAGTCTTCGGCACATTAGAGCATAAATTCAACACGTGAACGTCGAAAGCGGTAACAACTACATACCAAAAAAAAGTACCTCTCCAGCGAGGCGCTGTACACTGCGCAATGGAAGGGCACAAATGCTCCTTGCATAATGATAAGGAGGCATCTCCACTTGACGAAGAAGGTACTCTTATGCCTGTAGCATCAGCCCCGGGGAGCAACACTAGCATGGATAAACAACTCCAAGCGGATAAATTACCTAGTCTGCCTTTACCCACCAATTCATCCTCCTCTCCCGTACAGCTTTCTGTGAACGGACTGGGAGGCGATCAACTAGAATCTATGCAGTCTAAGAGCCTTTCCCCTCAGGATGCTGCCACTGCGGAGAATGGAATCACCATTCCCGCAGGTGCTGTGCTGAGAAAGCGAGCCATTGAGAAATGTAACAACGATAGTAACCATCAAGATTCTGCTGCACGACGCGTTCTTCGGCAGCACAAGCTGCCGACTGACCTCCCAAACCATTCCACGGCAGCTTCTAGTACTACTTTGAATATGTCGGCAACGGGGATGGGGAATGAGCGCCGACTTGCGTCGCCAAGGGGTCCTCCTTCGGCGTCGAACATTGTGGCAAATCCTATCATAAGCGCTCTTCCGACGCTCAGTAATCGTCTAAAACTTAGTGAGGGTCTCAGCTGTATAGATTACCTACCTGCGTTTCGTGCGCTTGCAATTGGAAGCACAAGACAGCTGCACATTGTAGAGGTAATTCCTGCTGTTTCCTATGATGTGTATCGATATAATCATGAGCAAATCTGGAATAGTAGACAACAAAAAGCAGAAACGTCATGGGATACGGATAACGAGGATTTCGCAGCTAGAGATGTTAATGAGAAAGGTGGTGGTCAAGGTACACCTCCTAGAATGCGAGAAGCATTACCAACACAAGCAATATCTACTCCCTCAAGGCGTACTCCTCCTGGGGCATACATTCCCGATAGCCGATGTGGTGGCAGCAGTTCACCTGGTGCCGCTGAGTTCACATGTGCCAGTAATGAGAGCCATGTAAAGTGGTGTAGAGACAACTCCAGCACAGCCTACAATACTTTAGAGAATCCTAGCATTCAAACCTTTACATCTTTTTGCCGCCGAAGTGTGCCTTCGGGTTCGCAGCCCTCTTTAGCTAACAGTAGCAGCCCTTATGTACTCCGTAACGCTGGAGTGTTTGGCGGACTCATGAAGGTAGAATCGGTTGCTTGGTACCCTAGTTGCAATGAGGCGAGTTTGGCCTTTGTTCAGCCAGGTCGTGCCGTTACCGTTTTCCTTGACGTCCTGCAATTTAAAAGTGACGGCAGCTACGTATCACAGCAGTGGAAGCGATCGCAAGGCAAAGGAAAGACGCTCCATGCGACGCTCAGTGTCGGTGGGGGCTCCACCGCGACAGCCGTCGTCGCGCCATCCGGTTGTATGCTCTTCTCGTGGCCGATGAAGACAAGCCTAACGACCTCTTTGTCGACGCCTGGTTGGGGTAAAGGAGGGCAGACCGTGGCTCTCACAAACCCGACCATGACTCCCTCCTCTTGTTCTGGTAACGGCCCGGAGCAGGCCTCGGTAGAGCGCAGCCCCGGGGGCGTCTTCGCCAAGAAACTTATTGAATTAGCTATCGACTGCACCTATGTTCGGGTAGAGTGTATTGCGTGGGATCCACACAACCCCCACACACTTGCCCTTAGCTCTAACCTAACACACTTCGAGTTGTGGCATATTCCAACCGTTGGTGATAGGGTGTACGCACCGCAACTGGTGCTTCGACCACCGGCACATAATACCCGTTCTGTTGCTCGCTCCCTTGCCTTTTCGCCTTCAGATGCGAATCTCATCATTGTTGTTGTGGAGTCCGCAAGCGCTGGACAAGTCCTTCTTTTCGATCGACGGCAGGTTGAAGTTCCGCGCTCGCTAGATGTGATGGGGCCTGGCCTCACCGCTGCCTTCCACCCGATCTTCTCAGACCTTCTTGCGGTCTGTTTCCGAAAAGCTAAGACGAAAACGGACTGCAGGGTCGCCTTTTTGCGTGTTCTGGAAGATAGCCAACAAGCTGAGATAGTAAAGACGGCCGTTCCGGCTCAGACGTCAGTGGGCGACGCCTCTTATACCGAAATTTTATCAGGCTCCACAAGCTCGGCCACGGTGGCGAAAGGTATGCAGCATCACCACTCAGATGTACCACGCGAAGGGCATGGCGATGTCTCGTCCGACGCAATTAACAGCGCACTGACAGCCACCATGGCAGGGACGGAGGCGTTGCTGACCTCTGCAGGCGTCATGGAGGTTCCACGGGTTGTCCAACAGGACATTCTGCAGCCCATTGATCACTACGCCAGTGTGAATCGCCTGCAATGGCGTCCGGGCTCTTGTGGCATGAAGCTGTCGGCGGAAAGTCCCGACCACCACTTCCGATGCTGGTTCCCAAGTCCAGAGCCATTCATCGCGCTTCGCTCCGCCGGTGAGGTCACAAGTCATTTAGGATCGTCATGCTTTACAGGCTCAACTAGTACGGCAGCGGCGCGGCGACGAGATAGGAGCCAGGATTTTGCAGAGAAGCCAGAGGGCGTCACGCCTGAAACAGAAGAGATGCTCAAGACAGCGAGTTATGCGCGTCTTAAGTCTGGGGTGGAACTCTTGGCTTCCCAGCTGTGGTTCGCGACGGCTGCTACAACAACGGACTCCGATGTGTGCGTGTGGGACGCGGTGAGTGGGTTTGTACCAGTGTGTGTGGCCTCCCACCAGTCTAAGGATGGGCGCGAGCTAAACGACTTCACGTGGGTGAACGAACTGACGTTGGTTACTGTGTTTAAGAGTGGAGAGGTGATTTGTACTTGCTTGATGAATAATAACCATTTTGAAGATTCAGTACTTGTGTGCCCATCGCTTGGCGCAAGCGAGGATGATGCGATGACGAGCACCACAACCAAGATTCCGCAGCAGCAGGGGCACTTGAGCCCTGTTAGTGGGGCTACCCCAAATCCGGAACGTGCAGCAAATGATCATGGTCACATGATGTTGTGCTATCCACCGGACGACGCGGTGCGTGTTCTAAGCCTGCACTCCATCATGCCAACATCTGCTGTAACGTGTGACCTCTTTGGGCGAAGCTTTGTCGTTCGCAATACATCCTCACGACTTAAGAACTATTATCAGTGCGTAATTCAAAGCGAGCGGAAGGACCTCATCAGGAGGCTTCTGATACAAGTTGGTAATGAGGAAATACAACGTGAGCGAGTTGCACAGCGACGTGGTATCCGCATTCATGTCCACTACCGATTCGAAGAAATATTACAAGCCCTGTTTGGTGATGCAAAATATAATGTTCAGGCCACAATATGCGACATTGTAAGACAAGACGCAGGCGATAGAGCGGTTCAGCCCTCTCACACGGAGATAAATAGATGTGACTGGGGGTTTCCAAACGCCGAAACCGCCGCACCTAGCTTTCTTTTCTTCCCAACACTCACTTCATCCAGGGAGCGTGCAACAGGTATGGAACGGAGAGAAAAAAATGCTGAAACTGGAGATGGTATCGAACCGCTCTCCGTGACAGGACTTGATGAGACACTCATGTTGACAACTTCTTCCCAAAGCGTCGCAAAGCCGCGGCGGCGCCAACAAAACACACGGACTCAATTTTTTTCACGCATTCTGGGGTTCATTCAGCATCCTCTCTCACTCGGGCATCAGGAGCGCCCTCTTGAAATCAGTGGAGTTGATGGATCTACAGCGACCATGAACATGGGGTCCGCAGCTACAGACGATGCCAGAGCGCCTCATTCATCTGTTCAGGGAGGTCAGTACACTCATAACGATCTAGTTGATATTAATCGCTTAGGCACGGCAGCTGAAATAAAAAGTCGTGCTAACATGGGCACGTCACATTTGTCGACCCGAGTAGCTTCGGATCTACAGCAGCACCAGCTTTATCGAGGAGGTTCCACAAGCTTATATGAAACGCCTAATGTCATGGATCGTATCAGCGGAAACAACGATGCGACGTGCCTTCAGGATGTCACACGTCACCACTCGACGCTTTCTGATGTTTCTTCCGTGGGGCAACGGAACAAAATTTCCATGGGTCAGGACTGCACTTCACAAAAGCCACACCATCAGACTCCCGCACGCTCATTTCCTGTGGTGAATGCAATATCACAGCGTTCCCCTGATTACCGGCACATGTCAATCTTTCCGCTCATCAGTAGCCCAACAAAAGTTTACATAGAGCAAGGCCCAACAGCTCCGGCCTCTCCTATCTCTGTCATTTCTGCTTTTGCTGACGGTTTAGCTGTCATCAAGCATTCAGGGGCCAACCCCCTCGAGCGTGAGCCCCTGGTCTCTACTAACGACCACAAGAATCTTGTCTTCTCAAAAGAAGAGCTTTCAGTGGTGAGTGATAGTCAAACAGCAAGCTGTAAGATCAGTCCAACGATTAGAAGGGACAAGATGGGACTATTTGTACTCGAGCGCACTGCTTTTCCTCAAAGCCCTAAAATCAACCCTACTGTCACTATCCCTATTTCCGCGATGCTGCGTCGTGACAATGCCATTCCGATTTCCCTCACTCCTGAGGTGCTTCAGAACAGCCCCCCAGGGTATTCTTCCGCGCGCGAAGTCACTAGCCTCAACAGCGACAACCGTAACGACAATACAGCCTGTGCCGGAGGTTCCTTGTCTGAGGCTTCTTTAAAGCTTTGGACAATTCTAAACACCGCATCCATGCAGCACTGTGTCAATCCGGTGATAGAGAATTGCGTCTTGAGCAACGCCGTTTGCACATGGGCCTATACGGAGTGCCAAACAGAGACCAACCTCTTCGTGCGATATGCTTTAGAGTGGGATATGGGCTATGAGCTGGCTCTCACCATGAAACGCCACCGTCACTGGCTTGACGATGAGGCTGAAAAGGAGGAGTCCAATTGCCAAGAAAAATTGCAGAAGCCTGGACGGAAATCATCCGTACTCCTTTATCATAAAGACAAGAAAAAGAAACTTCACGGTTTGTCTGCGTCAGCCTCACGACCGCAACAGCACGTGCTACTTCAGTCACCAAAACAGATAGACATTATTTTCTCTAATATGATGTCCCATAATTATCGTATCTGCAAGGCACAATATGATCCCAGCGCAGCTAAGGGTCGCAAGAGTGGCAATAGTGTTGGGAATGATGACGGAGATCGGAGCCCCCAAGATCCGAGAGCACAGTTCTGGCGTGCTGCTTCGTATGCTTGGCGAACACATAATCTTGAAACCATTCTGTCTGTGACTACAAGTCAACTAGAGTATACTTCGCTCATGGGTGACGTTCAATACAGCCTGGTTCTTTACGTACTCTTCTGTCTTTGGTGGAGACTGCGGTATCATTCCCCACAACATGTCGCTGCAGGTTTTCCCTCTCAGGCTGAGTCGACGGCAGAAAATGATACACAGCCTGAACATCGCGAGAGTGTTGACCAAGAAGGACGAGATCATTACACATGGCAGTACCTTCGGCCAGACCCATCAGACTACGCTTCCAGTATCAACCACACCTCTCCACTTGGCCAAGAAGTTGTGAAGGACAAGCCGGGATTCGCACAAAACTTCTCCGCGATGCCCCCTTGTCCCTTATTACCGGGGCGCTCGTCCAAACCACAGACGGTAAAACAGCGAGAAACATCCCAACCGTTTCCCCACGTGTCCGAGACCAGGAGCCCAGAGACGTCTCGATTATCTTCGGCGAAGGCTAACACATTTTTTCCAGCGCAACCTGTCAACACAACAGAGAGACACGAGGACTCTACCACATGCGTCAAAAGTACACCTAACATTTGCAGTTGTGACGCCTCATGCACGCCTGAGCAATGGAAGCTACGCGCTTTGCAGTGGCTTGAGGTTTACACTTCGGAGCTCTACGCATGTAGATTGTACGTTCCCCTCAATGAGCTACTGTTAATTATCCCAGAGCTCTTTCAAGAGCCGTACAACCCGGTCCAGCCCAGGGCGGCAGACATTGCCTATGAAAAGCAAATGACCTACGTCTTTTGTGGCAACTGCACGAAGTCTGAGCTCTGTACCTTACCCGTTAAGGGTTTGGATCTTCCTACGTACTCAAGCAGCCCTACTACAACAGTGATGTATCGTTCAAATCACCACGCTAGTGACACACACATTGGCATGGGGCGGGAAAAGGTTTATCGATGGCAAAAGAAGGATTCTACAAATACATATTTGCCTTCTTCAGCTATGAATGCATCAGAAGCATCCAAAACATTGACATCCATTTACTCAGAGTCACAACTATCACAAATAAAGTTGAGTTTGAAAGAACGAAGGAAGCAATTGCTCAAGGAGCCTCCTCGGATGGCTAAAATGAAGCGACGAAAAGGCTGCATTAGAGCGTCTAGTGTATTGGGGGTTTCTCATTCGGCTGACTTTTTAAGTGTGCTCAACTACTCAGATTCCTCTCAAAAAACACACGAAAGTGACGACTCCTATTCAGTTGATCACAGCCACATTTTTTCGCGAATGAGTAGTACTCATAGTTTATCGACCAGCACCACTACAGAAAACTTAAGCATTCCCCTCCAAAGCGAATTCGAATCACTGTCACTTCCGGCATACCGACGCAGGGCTAGAGATGATCGGTGTGCTGAGCTAGCTTGTGCTCATCTAGATATGGGCAATCGAGCCAACCCCCACAACGCGCCTACCATGTCCTGGAGAAGTGCGGACGACGACGCCCTCGTTAACGATGTCGATGACGAAATGGGCATGGATGCGGTCGAGACTGAAGAAATGTCCATACAGCTTCTTCCGGGGCATGCGATTCCTAATAATGCAGAATGCCGTCATTGCCATAACACAACCGCCATGACGTGTGTTGTATGTGAGGAGGTTGTGGAGGGGTTGTTCTACTGGTTGCGGTCTTGCGGGCATGGAGGCCATGTCCATCACATGCAGCAATGGATGACGATTTCAAGCGATTGCCCAAAGTGTGGTGTACCTATAACAAGTGCCGCATCACAAAAATAGGACGAGGTGCTGTGCGTGAAAAGAGGCTGGGTGTGTGAGACGTGAACAACATGCCGAAAAAGGATTCACTTACATGGGAAGCGGATGAATTTATGCGGGAGATGCTTGTAAGTAGAGATAACCTGTCTAGGAGTACTTTTCTGGGACCTAGCTCGATGCTTTTTCTTTTGCATACTTTATTTTCGTCTGGAAGTGTGCAAATTTTCTGCACTCCTTTCCACTGTCTCATTGAAAAGACCAAACACGAGCCTCTGTTTTCTTTTTTAACTTTGTGAACTTTGATTTGCCTCTTCAGGAAGCGAAACCATTTCAATATTAAACTTTCATCGTAAAAAGATTCACCGGGCTTTTATTTGATGTAATACAAAGGAAAATAAAGGCTGAAAACGTGAGCATAGAGAACAGTTAACTAGATCAAACTATCTTAGGTCTTCCATATATTTACATATACCTATTTATATAATTCCGGCGCACGAGCCAAATAGAAGCGAAAAATCACATAGAATAAATATTTATGCTAGACCCCATTTCAGTTGAAGCTCCCGAGGATAATAACCTACCCTCCGTTGAATACTTTGAAGGTGACCCAAGTGATCCTTCACCCGACGCTAATCTGAACCATATAGGTAACAATAGCTTTTCGTTGCTCTCGGTGGTGGAGATTGATGGTGCTGAAGTCAATGGTCCCGAGGATCAGGTGGAGGAAAAAAATGGAGTTCGTATTGACATAAGGGATCATGAGAGGACAGCATCGCTTATGAGGAGTGGCTCTGAAAAAGTAAACTCGAGTGAGCGCGCATTTAGCAACAGCGCTGTGAGCCACATAAATAAACCAGAAGATAATAGCGGAAATACCTGGCCCGAAAGCAATGATCCTGCGACTCTTCGTAAGATTATAAGTGCACCACTACTCCACTCAAGCACTCTACAATCTTTCTTTTTTTTGGTCTGTTGCTACGCGCAGGAGCACTTTCGCGGCCGTTTATATTACCCGACCGCACCCTGCACTTTACTTGGTAAGGAGCCAACTTCTGAGGAACACGTGAACCACCCTGTCGAAACCCCAGAAAATAATCTTAAAGGACCTGGGCTTGAAGAAGCGGTGAAGACCGCAACAGATGGATGCCACTCGATCACCCAAAGAGAGGAAAAGTTTTTCTTGGATCCCCTGAGCACATCCCTCTTTAATAACACGTTGTGTGATGCAGGAAGGGAAAATGCTTTTTGGGTGCGTCCAGAAAAAAATTGGATAGAAAAACCGGCTTCACCTTGCAGATCCACTGAGGAGGACGGGGCACAAGACAAACAGAAGAGAAGCGAAAACAAGACGAAAGACTCACACATGAGTAGGTTATCTTGTTGTGGAAATGCAGCCGTGGGTGAGTATTTCCAAGCTGAGATTCAAACTTGCTATGCGATTGAGGATGCATTGCGTCGTTTTCTTCGTGCAGATGAAAACCGTAGGTCCACCGAGGCTGTGGCTAATTATTCAGCTCCTGGTGATGCTCCTGAAGGGGGTGGGGCCTCCGAGACATACCTGCCAGGGACTGCTGACCGGCCAAAGGTCAAGAGTTTTGAAGGTTGGTTAGATCAAAACCCTCTAGTCTCGTCATCTGAAACAATAGACAACAAAATCGATCATTCCACGACGACCACGTTTGTCTCTCCCTGTCCAACATCCTTGGACTACTTCAAGCAACATATAGTTACACTTTGGCGTGAGCAACTTCAAAAGCGGTATAGTGAACAGGAGTCTGAGGATAATCGGCGCTCTTTCATGAGGATGCAGGAACTGCCCTATTTAGTGACTGATGCAGTACACTACGCTTTACTCCTTACCCAACTGCAGTCGGCTTCGCCTTTGCCCGCTGGCCTAAGCGGGTGGCGCCCTGTAAGTGGTCTATGCGACTGCGCACAACTGCCATACTACAGGTATCCCCCACCTTTATTTCGAACTAGCTCGTTTGCTGGTGAAACAACACGATTATTGGGTTGGCTGCGTACATGGAGGCCACCCGCTGAAGCACCAACCGCAGCCGGCTTCACTGAAAACAGCAACAGTCGAAACAGAAGCAAAGAGAACGCACCTCGGGGTAACACAAAATCCCATGCAAGCATGGTTGGGGAGTCACAAGGGGAAAATCTTGGAAATATAAAAGTGGCTTCACCACCTTCCATCACTCAACTAAAGAAGGAGGGAAGCTGCTCCATTGAGACTGAGGCAGGCATCTCAATGACTGATAGGAGAAAATCACGCCTACGCTTATCTACAAACACCACTGTTACAAAAGCAGAAGAGCAGTTATCGATAGCAAACGAAACGCGCTTAAACGGTGGAGATGATGGTGGAAAGATCCCAGGAAAGGGCCCGCGAAGGGCCGTTCCGAAACGATTCATGTTGGATTCCTCACCGGACGGGTGTCGTCCGACGCGCAAACTCCCCAAAACGGAGGAACAAATGCCCGAGTGTGGTATGGCAACGTGCGAGTCATCGCCTATCCTCTCAACACCTTCGGTCCCTCCCCAGCCACACCGTGTGCCTGCCCAAGAGGCCTACAAGCGGTACTGTCGGCTTTGGCAGGATACCTCGTATGAGGCCCGCCCCAGCCAGCGCATCTCAGGAGGGCTCGCACACAATTGCCCAGAGCCCCCATTGCGGTCTGTTGCAGCCCCATCGGTTGCTCAGTCAGCATCCTCACGCGTATGCGCGTCGCTGCCGTTTTCTAAAGAAATACGAAGAGAAGAGGAAACCACCGCCCTGGGGACGATATGTGGGACCTATGTGGACGCCTTTGGCAGCCGTCTGCGCAGCGCAAGGCTTGCGAGGCTTGAAGCTGAGCGTCTCGCCCAGAAACGTTTGATAAGTCAAAAACGTTCAAAGCGGCGTGGATATTTTACTAGAGATGACACCGAGGAAGATATTGATCTCCTAGGCAGGATAACCACAGGCCCCATATTGAATGACTTTCCTCTCGCGTTACAGCAACAAAAACATCAGTGCACCCTTCAGTATGAGTCGGGTGTCACTGGCCCATCCATGTCCCATGATAAAATGGCTGATAGGAGCAGCCGATGTCTATCATCATCATCATCATCCCCAGAGACGCTATCTTCCAACGAAGACAGTGAAAATGACTTAGATGATGGTATCACAAACATCGCCGTGCTCAGTGGGCCGACTGGCTCTGGTAAAACAGCCTCAGTCTACTTGGCAGCTGAGCTGCTTGGTTTCCAGGTCGTCGAAATGAACACTTCGGTGCAGCGGTCAGCGAAAAGCGTCGAACATCTCCTTGCAGAGCTTACACGCAGTCATCGCCTATATCGATCCAAACACGGAAAATCAACTGTAAGCATAGAAGAGGAGCTCAATAAGTTGAAGCGTGAGCATGCCATAATGATGAAGGCACGGGTTGATCAAGCGGCAGCAGCGCGTCTAGGTAAACGGAAGGCGTCGGATAAGCGAAGGGCAAATGGTATATCTGCCCAAGCTGTCGCTTCATTCTTTGGTCGCAAGACTCCTAAAAATGACAAAGAAAATAGTGAGATGGAAGCGAAGAGCACCGCAGCGTCACAGTCAACATCTCGGGATACCACAAAAAAACTCAGTGCCCCTTCGGTGATCTCCTCGACAAGCAAAGTCGTCAACTCGGTAGCCACAGGCCAAAGTGAAAACACTCACACTCCGGGGGTTATGGAGGATAATTGCGCTAGTGATCTTAACAACCGGAGTGGCAAACGAACTTCGAGTGCCACCCTCCTCCTGATCGAGGATGCCGACATCTTGCTTGGCAATGAGGCTTCAAAACCCTTCTACGCTGCGATACGCGACCTCGCAAAGAAGAGTAAAGTCCCGTTGGTGGTTACGGTGTCAACTGACCCCTTGTCTGCAGGGCTAGGGCAGCCCCTATATAAGGAAGATGCCTTCGGATCGAATCGATACGATCTGGAGGAGAGCAGCATGCGACTGTTTTCGATGCTGCATCCCAAGGACAATGGCAAAGGTTCCGTTCCTGATGCCAGAAATCACAATGATGCGCTTGCCGACTTAACAGAGGCACAAAACTATCTCTACGGCGATGGGAATGCCGTAGAGCAGACCTCCGAGAATAATCAAAGCAACGGGTGCGGTTTCGTACGCGTTGCGATGAGTGCAGCACTGGTAGCACAGTATTTTGGTAAGCAAACCCCGTTTATGACTTTGCAGCCAATGTCAAAGGCAGCGTTGTTTACCGAACTACTGGTCATTGGCGCAGTGGAGCTGGGCCTGATCAAGGTCCACCGCGCAGACGCTTCGACTGGTAATGAAAACTTACCTGGAAACGATAGAGCTGGGCTCCCGAAGTCGAGAGAAGCATATCTTGCCACTCAAATGGAGTCTGTTGGGAACGACTGTGTTGATGGTGATTCAAAGAGCCCAGTATCCACAGAAAAGGGGAATATATCGCAGGAATATAGCCTTGAGTTGTGTGATGTTGAACGCTTTAAGGAACTTTCGGCACGGTTACGTGAAGAAATCTATGGCCGAGATGTCTCACAGCTCATATGTAGCCCTTCATGCAGCGAAAACCATCCGTATCTTACTGCGGCGTCCGCAGTGGCAGCCACAAAAATGTTTAGCAACACCGATATTCGATACTGGTTGAACCGACTTCATTGGCTCCTACTGGACTCTCGCACTGAGGCTGCGACACCCGCTGTGGGGAAGGAAGCCCTCAAGGCCAACGCCCAGACCGTCGCCGAGTGTGTGAATCACATCGGGTCCGACTCGTCACTGAATACCATCGGGCACGTATCAAACGCGGCTGAAATCGTTCAAAAGGCATTTCTCAGGCTGCCATGGCAGGAAGCTACGGCATGGGATGCGCTATACGGCCGCTATCAAGCAGCGGTCAGCTATAACGAACTGCATTGCCCACGCCAAGAGCGGTGGTCAAGGCAACATCTTGTGACGTGTTCAGCGGCGGATATACTGACTGAGCTTAATACTTGTGATGTACCTTTCCAATCTCAGGTTACACAGGAGGTTCTGATATCTGCTTCACATTCCTCGTCCTCCCCACAGTTGTTCCCGAGTGGCTCACCGGCGTCACCGGCGGCCTCTTTCAGTAGTGACCTTAGTGCGGCGTCTACTTCCTTTGCCACGGTGCCTATCGTCTCAGCCGCGGAGGAAGTCGCTTCGAAGGCTCCAGGCAACGCTGTTTATGGAGGTGCTACCTTTCTATCTCAGTCAACTGAAAAGTGCAGTCCTGATCTCGTTGGACTCAAGCCTGTAGATGCGTTCCTCCCTTACGGTGATGCCCAACGCTGGCTTCAGGTGCTTAACGACTGCAACCTAAGTGGAACTGGTGCACAGACGGCTAGTTGTATACCTTCATTACCACCACGTCCATTCAGTGTGACTGCTTCATCTCTACTCGTTGGGGGGCACTTTGAAGAGATTTGTCGCCCACAGATCTCGATACCTATAACAATTGCACCAACGACAAAACAGCGTGCAAATGCACTTGAGGCCTGGTGGAAGCGTACAAGAAAACGTGAAGCTATCAAAAACTACGTAGTCGGACGCTCGGCGCACGTTTGCGAGGACCTTTTGGGTGTTAGCAGCCTCTTAACTCCATCCACAAACACTATGCCTACTACATCGATTCTTTAATAGCCATGCTAGCTCAAATGTTTTTTCCATATTCGTATGTGGGGAAGAGGAGGAACGCATCCGCAGAATGGCCTTCATTTTTGAAGCTAAAAATTGTGTTCTCTTTTAAGAAGCAAGTAAACGCGCATATGTACGCAATACACAATTTTAAGGAAAGCCATAAAAAAGGAAAAATACTAAGTTTATAAGTGCATGCTATCCAAATGGAAATGTTGCGTGAGATATATTCAATTAAAAGATGATGCAATCGATAAATAGTCTTCCCCACCCCCAAACTCCTTGAAAAATAACTAGACGAGAATACTCTCTGGTAGAGATGGCGTTCCTGTTAAGAAAATCTTCTCGATGTGAAGTGCATCTCGTCCTCTTCATAAAAACACCGCATATGATAGAAAGGGAGTAGAAGAAAAACCTGAATTCATACATATATAGGAGCTTAAGCCTCTGTGAAGGGCCACTTTCATAACGCTTTTTATTTTCTCTTCTCATTAGGATTACGAAAGACATTCCTTCGACTCGTGTTCCCCCCTACCCTTGGTGGTTGAAAATACAGGTTGATATCAGTTGCAAAAAAAAAAGGATCGATTGCTTGCTTAACACATAAATTCAGTGCATAATTTATGAGATGGGATGCCCATACAACTATAACTTCGCCTTCTGTGGTAAGTGCAACTGTGGGAGATTCACCGACTTCAAATGGGTTTGTTAATCGACATCCGGTTTACTTCACCGAAGGGAATGTAGCCAACCTGGGGGCTCCACCGTCTAGATCCGTATCGACTCCCTTGGCTGCCGACCTTATACCAGCCCTTCCGTCCTTCCTAGGGGCTGCCCTCAGCTGGGGGTTAGGTGAAAGTGCGGCGGGCGACGAGATGTGTAATAGTGGAAGCCCCTCAGCCCTGAGTGGCGGTGAACCGCTACCGGAGTCGATGCAGCGTTCCCTCAGAGCAGCTTGGACAAAGTTAAACTGGAAAGCGTTATATAGACTTCGGCATGCGCACTACTACACTGGCGAAGTGGCTAAGACTCAAGGTGATTTGCAAAGTGGAAGTAGTAAAGATAAGCATGGAGAGGGCGAATGGGCCCTGGATGAAGTCTGTGATACCTCTTATGGAGATCAGATCCTGCCCAATGCCGGAGTTGACAGCGACTCTGCTGAAAGTGTGAAAAGGACTTCCACTACACTCCAAGAGCACACTGCAGCTTCGCTAACTGATGTGTTATACAAAGAAGGCTTAGCTTCATTATGCACACGAATACTTCCTTCAACTGGAGCCAAGAACATAGAAAAGGGAAGCATTTCTAATACTAGTCTCAGACGCACAGGAGACTTACAGCTACATGGTTATGGCGTTCTCTTGTATATTATATACGGCTATCGGAGAAACGTCAATGGATCCACTCCCGCGGCCCCAACAACAGCGGCAACGGGATGCAGTACTTCAAACAATGATGCTTCCGCTGGGAACCTGATACCTCTTGCACTGGTGCCAAAGGCATACTGCCCCGTGTTGGATCTCTTTGGTAAAGAAGTGTTGGACGCGGATCTTGTTGAGATGTCAGGCAGAACCTCCAAATCCATGCTGGATAACGAACAACAGGTATCATTGCAGTTCATGCAGGAAGGGAGAGAACATAACGACAAGGTTGCTGTTTTGTCGCTCGTGACCTATGAAGGGAGTTTTTGGCGCGGGCAGCCACATGGGAAAGGTCGACTCTTGGTATATCAGCGGTACATCCTGGAAGGAGAGTGGGTCCATGGAGCGCCTCAGCTGAGGTGTGTATGGGTCCTACGAAAAATTTTGGCTCACCAGATAGATTCTCAGGGAATAGATCGGCATGGAAAATACCTTGATCAGCTTAAAAAAAATAGAGGAAAATATGAAGCCTATCCACATACTAGTAGTGAAGTTGAGGAAACAACCAGTCCACAAAGCATGATTATTTTTTCGGAAAAATACATGGGTACGCTTACGGTAGGCATTAATCGTAGGAAAGCCTTGAATCCCGAAGAAATTGCTCGCTTGAGCGAGCCTTGGAAACGACAAGGTGGTCTGTCATGGACAATCAATCCACGATTCTCTTTCCTCTATGACGGCCTCGGTGAGGCGTTGTCGACTCCTGGTGGGCATACACAGCTTTTGACCAGAAGTAGGGTTGCGTTTACACCTCATGGGCCGGGCTCCGACCATGAAGGCGGTCTTGCGATGGAGAGAAAGGGGATCGTCTGGTATTGCGGAGAGTGGGTCGCAGGAGAGCGGCATGGGGTTGGGGCAGAGTGGCGTAGCACCGGTCCCAACCGCGGCCTGTACTTGGGGAGTTACGAGCACCAACAGTGCCATGGTCCAGGCATCCTCGAGCAAGATGACGGGAATGGTGTGTTGTTCAGTTTCGATCGTAGTAGCGACTGTGGCTCTGTATTTTCGGGTTCATGGAAGTGTGGCGTGCTTCAGCCCACGGGCACCCTTCTACTCAACTCAAAACCCTCCATGAGCCTGAAAGGTACAAACTGGAAGTTTACTCCAGATCAAACCGGTCCAGGAGAAGAATTTTTATTTGATCAAGCGTTTTTTATGAAGGGTCACCACTCTCTTAGTTGCATATGGGAACCAATTTTTAGGAATTTCGACACAGCCCTTGGGTCGTTGCCACCGTTGGAAAATTACTTAACAGAACATTTAAGAAATTCCAACGAGGACACAGTAACGGCAGGTTTCGAAGATGATAGCAGAAGAAAACGTCTTAATGAATATATCCGTCCTATTTTGGAAGCTGTAATGTCGTTAAAGGAGTGGGGTGAGACCCTTACTACTTTTCAGCGCCTGTTTTACTTTATTTTCGGCAAGTGCTCGAGAAGCGAGATGTGCGACGATCAGAAATATCAACGACCGCAACCAAATGAGGATATAAAAATCGCGCCGGATACTGCTCGTGATTGGCGCCTATTTAATCGAGAAAGGAACGAAAACGGCTTATGGGGAAAAGACGGCAACGTTTCAGATACCAATAGCTTGCTTAAACGCTTGGAGCAGCTCGGCGGCAGCAAACCTTTTGATACATGCTCTCTCAATACCCGTCATCATGGGGGTCGACCGACCCCTCATTTTACGTATAGTTCACCGTCGTGGTGCCAATTAATGGGACTTTCCACTACGACTGAGGCGGCAGGTTCTTTACATCAAAGGGGTTTTGATACACACGAAACCTTCACGTGTGCGATGGACAAAACCGATCCGGTGGCGAAGGAATCCGCACAATTCTCGTCCAAAATGAGTGGATATGATGCTCGTCGCGTTTGTCGCGTCAGTTGCCTCCATGCTCACTGTACGAATCCCGCCTATACTTCCCTTTCCATGATGCGCGGACAAACACCGGATGCCATTGCGGAGCGTGCCTGCCATTATGCCGCGAGTTTGGTAACGTCCGTACGGCTCCGATTGATACCCTTTCTAGTACTGCACCCCATAGAATGTGAAGAAATTATGCATCATAAAGTCCTAGAACAGTTCGGCTGGAACGTCGTATATTGCCTTGTCGGACCACTCCTGTACGACCTCTGCAACGCGGTTGTGGTCCAACAGCACGTCAACTTTGTGGGCGCATACGTGCGTAACGGCAAGGGCCTTGACAGTCACCATCTCACGTCCATGGTGCGAAGATCGCTAGCGAAGGAACAGTGCTTTTCATTTTCGTCGCCGACACAGCACGACATGCGCCTGAGTGATCTACACGCGGCTGTGAGTCGACTGTTGCAAGAAACAAATGTCTTCCAGTGTAAAGTCACCCAACAAATGGATCCAGAACCACCTCCGATTAAAATTAGTGGTGAACATAACAGTGATAAATGTTTAAAAAATGTCGGCACTACATCATCTTTTTGCTTTGACGACTCAGTCAAACAGGGCAGCATGAAAGACAACGAATATTGGATCCCCTCCGCGACTCGAAAAGTTGAGCCAAGTCGGGATGAAGAAACACTCATTCACCATGCTGCATGCATTTTCTCGAACCCAGCACTGTCTCTTGTCGTGGAATGTCAGCCCACCTCCTATGGGCCACTATTTTTATGGCATCCCTCGTCGCAAACGCACCAGGAAACTATCTTAGGAAGTAGAAGCATCTATGGTGCACCCCTTCATGCATCAGCGACATTGTTTGACATCTTGGACACGCTTACGGCGTTGGTTCACCTCTCCGTCGTCAAGTACCCCGATGAGCCTCTTTTCCAGCAACGTTGGTTAGGCAAGTGCGTGCTGTTAGCCGCTTGCAAAGCGGAAGACATGTTGATGGGGTCCGCTAAACAGGAAACTTATAGTTCGCCTTTTTGCGAGGAAGCGCTGCGTCGGGTGGGCTTTAGCCCCTTTGCATGCATTCTTTTAGTATGCTTAATAACGCTGGGATCGGTATCGCCTACACTTTCTCTTACCACATTTAGCCGCCTTCTGCTTCATGATCTGATCTACCGGCACCATCATCACAACCCTCTGCAATCGTTTTGTGGTTTTGAAAAGAAGAATCAGAGTATCACCAACGAAGAATCGGTAGGAAAAAGTGAAAGTGTGTCAAGGATAACTACGGAAGGGCCCCTCAGAGAAGTGCTTCTTAGCGTCCTTAATGCGTCATGTCGATTAGTGCACTGCTTCCCACACCTGCTTCGGCCTATTTATTCTCGGAATGCAATAGACGACGATATCTGCATTTATCCACTTGATGAATTGTATGTTCGTGCTCAATATTGTGCATCACTTTGCGGCTCGCAAAAATTGCTTAAGAAACTTCTTTCTGCAAAGAAGCAACAACAGATCTCCAGTGATGGGATATCGAATGAACTCGCCGAAGGGGTGCATGCCGTTTTACCACCCTATACTTGTTACAACCACGTCTTCTCATCCTGCACGCTAAATGAATCAACCCTCTCGACGGTTTCATTATCAGGTAAATCTCCCTCTGGCACTCCATTGAAAGTATCTGAAGCTATCGATAGCGGTACGGATGGGTTGTATGAACTGAAGGACTTTTTTAAAAAGACTCTTCGATTGCCGAAGGAAACTATGATGGATCATTTAAACGAATACTGGTCTGAGAAATCATCATTACAGACACACCGAAGAGTCACGGGATCTACCGAGATTGAAGAAAAGGGCACTGAGGATTGCATACTTCACTTAAACTTATTCGAGGATCAAAAGCAAGCTCTGATGAGGCAGAATGCTCCGAAAGCTGGTTTAGACGATGAGCAAGGCACCTATCCTCCTACAAGTCAGCTTCGGACACATATCCCCAATAGTGATGATGCATCACTTTCGGACTTCGTTGCCTGGACTTTCAAATGTGTAAATACTGTGTTACAAAGCTCTGGATTCGATCTTTCACTCTGTAGCAATATTCATGCAAACACTACTGCGAGTAAAGCGGCCGAACCCGTGCAGGAAACCCACTGCGAGCGCGATGTCTATGTCTGGAAGCACTTTGTGTACGGATTTCGGCAACACGCGCAGAGTACTTCTGCCCGATACTACACTCCCACAAGGTGTATATCAACGTCGCTACAATCACTTTTGAGAGATGAACATTGCACTGGGAGTCAGGGGCAGCGAGGACGGGCCGGGTCGATGCGTGAGGAAGAAAACACAGAAGACGAGACATTAGCGAGGGTTGTGTCCACTGCACCACCTAATCGCCGCGGTTCGGTTGAAGTTGTTGAAGAAGACACATTCACGTACCCTCCACTTCTTTCAGAGGAAGATTTTTGTTACATTGCGTTGCTAGTTCTTTTCCTGGCAGAGTTGGATATACAAATTGAACTTCAGGCATTTTTTGTTCGGAATGACAATGATGACGAGATTGAAAACACAGAAACCTACCCAACATTACCTGCAGACGTAGACCGCGTTCGGACGCATTTGACGCCCGAAACGAACTGCATTGGTAAATTAGAAAACACTAATATACATGAAGAACTTCAATGTGATCTAATAAGACCCTCATCTCAGAGTCTTTCCGGTGATCCAACGACCAGAAACCACGAATCTGTGGCTCGGGCTCCCTCTATGAAAGCGATAACAAAAGAAAGTATATGCCCTATCAACGAGGCTCAAACAACGACAGTTTCTCCACCAATGAACGCATTGCGAAACTTAGTCATTCCTGCTGGCAAAACAGGTAGAAATCATGAACGATCGCATTCATCGGTTACTCATGGAGACCCTTTTCAGCGGATCTCTGGAGGAATTCAAGGAAAAGAATTCACCCTAACCCTATCGATGCCTTCTGCATTTCCGTATGGACTAGAGATAGAGGTTCTGGAAAGTGCGTGGTCAACGGTTGCGGTAATGATGGGGGAAAGTGCGGTCTCTTTCAGGAGAAAGACACAGAGCAAATAGTTCATAAGGGTGTTCAACTAAATGGTAGAGGAGAAAAATAGTGTAGGCTTTTTGAGTTTATTTCACTTTGTTATACTTTTTCAGGAAAATTACTACTTCGTGCGCGTTAGCTTTCTTAACTCCTCGATGTAGATATAACTTTTACACGGAATTAAAAATTTCCCCCCATTTTGTTACGCAATAAACATAGTTATGTTCGGAAAAATTATGCTTTAAGAGTTTGAGATGTTTAAGAAGGTCACTATATTTATCTGTGATCTTCTTCTCACCATCTCGAATCGCTGTGGGAGTTCTGCTCCAGGTTTCTGAGTTTGTTTTGGTGGGTCTTCTCATTCTAATCCGTATCTTGTCTACCTCTTCATTCGAAATAGAAAAGGAATTAAAAGGTGCATTTTATCGGATTAATTTAGTGGGTGTCGTTGTTTTCGTAAGAATCAACCCAGCTAAACGAATCTACTAAGCGAATGTGGTTTACAGCTAAATAATTATTTTAATGCTGCAGTTAATGAATCCGATGTTGACTTCTTCCCATCTACTTGACTCTTGAACCCTTTTAAATGCAAATCAGAAGATATCGATGAGACAAAAGGTACACAACAATTTGAAAAATCTTATATAAGCATTAACAAGAGTGCGATCAGTATAGAAAATTATTATTAATCAGTAATAGCTAGCCATATGGTTTCAAATATCAATGGTGCACAGAACTCATACGATGTGACTCCGAACAACAACGTTATAGAAGCTTGTGATGAAAGAAGTGTTAAAAAAACTCATGATACGATTCATTCCTCCTTCGATGACAATGGGCACCATCACAAAACCGAACCCAGCAGAAATAACAAACTGGTGACATATAATCTCGATCCTGGTGTGCCCTCTCCAGTTTCAGCGACACCTGTTGACTTACAGGGGGAGGGCGATGGAAAATCTCTGCGGTCTGCCCATCCACCGCGGGACATGAATAACGATTCCAAGAGAATAGCAAGTCCAAGAGCCACTCCTGATTGTAAAAGGCTATCTCCTGTGGGAGAATCTAATAATTGGTCTGCTAAGGCATCTTATTCACCCACCCATGTCCAGGAGAACCTTGGAGATCGACACCCCTCAAATCAAAATGGCAATCTGGAAGAACGGCGGAACCTCAAATCGCCTGACTCCATCTCCCAAAATTCATGTCTTCGCAATAGCGTCAATAATGCCTCGTCAGGAACCTCCCAAAAGCTGTCCGACGGTAGGTATCCGGTAGGCTCTGGGCCCCCTCACCTGCTGCATGCTTCCGTCAATCTGAGCACCCCCGTAACGTCTCCAGCCGAGAGGGCTGGACACGTTCCCGTCCATGAGAAGGTGGAGAGAGGGGCCTCCATCACCAGCGCCCAGAGAACTTCACCACAAGGTGATGCTAAGTGCAATGGTATTGCGAGGGGCATCGAAAAGGTGGTGCCATCATCCCCAGCCCATGAGGACATCAGTTGCGCAATGCAAGACCCTGGTGAAATGTCCTCAGAATACTATGAGTACGAGGAATATGAGGAATACTATGAAGAAAGTAGCGAGTATTATTACTACGATGAGATCTATGAAGAAGATGTAGAAAAGGACGAGGACGAAGATGAACCACAGATCGACCTCTTTCACGGAGAGTTTGACAAGGCCACAGCGCAGGACCTCCCTTTACGAGGGGCTGCTGTAGGTAAGTATGTGATGCACGATGGACGAGGGACTGTTGCTCAGAAATTAGGCGCTGGACCTTCTGACAAGGATACCCCTGCTAGTGATAGTTTAAAGTATAGCATTTTTGAAGAACAATGCAGTTCAAGAGAATGTACACCGGAGCGTATGGTCACCGAAGGTCATCATAAGACGTTAAAAGTTAAGAAACAGACAAACAAAGTTCTCGAGAAGAAACCCACAAAAGATAGCAAGCAATATGTCCACGGTGAGCCTTACACAGAGGCCCCTCGGCACATCGATCCTAATGAAGCAAGCTTAATTACAAGGACCAACACACCATTGTCAAACAATGATGACCAGCAGCCGAATCATTTTTCAGATCCAGCCGTTGATTTCAACAAAAGGAAAGGAGACGTGCAAGATGTAGTTAGCGTTTCTATAGAGAACGATCTGTTTCCAAACGAGTTGGGCTTATCCCCTGGCATGCCCCCTGCTAAGTTTGCTCTTGAAGACGAGGGAGATAATCAGAATTTCAGCGATAGCACGAGTAGCAAAGGGACTGAAGGTGAAACTCCAAAAGAATTTATTCACATCCATCAGGACGGACCATCGGAAGTCAAACAAAGTGAGCCGATGGGGGATGACAAAGGACCTTGTTTACTTAGTGACAAGAACTTGCACACCGGGCAACTTGAGAAGGCTTCCGATGATGCTTTGAAGTCTAAAAATATGACAACCTTAAGCAGCGAGCAGAGGCATATGTTCAGCGACAACGATGCGGAATGTGGTGCTCAGGAGACCGAGAAGGTGCTTCCTCGATATGACCCCGACACCCTGCAGACAATAACCTTGAATTTGAAACCCACAATCGACAAAGCAACACTAACAGAGTCGCTGATAGACACTCCAATGGAAGTGTTATCCACAAGAAAAAAGAAACTCCCCTTTGCAAGTCTATTTAATGGATGTATTCGTCAAAAAAAAGGCGATATTGCCGCAGATAACAGGGCGAACCAGTCAAGGGATCATTCCAACAGCATAGAGATGGACAACAAGGATTTAAAAAAAGAAGTCACGCCGGGTGAGGAGGCATCTCCAGACAAGAAAGACACACGGAGACGTCACAAAAAGAAACCAAAAAATAACAGAACACTCTACCATCGATGATGGTGGAATCGAGCCAAAAAATGTCAGGACTTCTTCGTAAAGGAAGAATAATACGGACCCCTTCGATAAAGACACGGTTAGATTGTCGGAGACTCATTCCAAGAAAAATACGATGCAAAAGCTACTGACTACACCAAAGATACACAGCAGTAATACCTCCTTTCGGTATCAACACAGTGAAGAAGGATTTCAAGACGCTGATAGTCACACCGATGGTGCGCTTAGCTGACGGGAGCAGCAGGCTTCCAAAGCCCGAAACCCTCACCGAGGCCCCTCATCATTTGACAGTCTCTCTTGCCTCTGCTTTGGGGCACTCCAGGAATAATCAATGACATTATTTCACCACGTGTGACTAAAATGTTCAGAAATTTCACCAGGACTGCGAGCATATTTGCGAGAAAAAAAACGTAGAGGAGGAGGGAAGGGGGGGGGGGGGGATGATGATACACTTTACTGACAAGAACGTTCGTAGGGACATGTCAAAGCTCTTCTTAAGAGGGAGTTCTTGGTGAGATAAGGTGGTTCTCCGCCCATGTTCTAGTAGGAACAAGTTTAAATGGTTGGATTCAACTCTTGAAGTGGGCCAATCTGAATACGAAGGAGACCAGAGCATAAAATCAGGTAGCAAACGACTCTTATTTGGTGAGAGAAAGGGGTACGAGGGACTGGTGCAATCGAATAGCACGGAATATGGTTAAATATCAAAACAGCGAATAAATTAATTGGGCTAACTCCATAGAGCATGCTCTTAACAACTGTATTGCTTATATCAGCAATGTATTCGTCTTGAAGGTTAACACTGAATTTCTATCGATACTTTTCCCTTCCATTTTGACGTTCCCTTTTTTGTGTGTGTATGTGGTAAGTGTTCTTTAACATCTTGAGTGAAATCTACTTTGCATTTTTCGTACACGTTAGCACGTGATAAGACTAGATTTCTGACAACAATACCGATTAGATAACATGTTAGAAGAGCGTGTTTTAATTGGTTGGTCAGTTTCCTTTCATCATAAAGGGCGATAAGATGTTCTGTGAATGGTTTCACTATATAAAAATGTCTGATGTTTTCAAAGGAATACTGATTTGATATTAACTAAATTCATACAAGCGTAATAAAAAGGAAACTGATATTTGCTTCCTTGTTCATTATTATCCTTCCAATCTTGACTATGGCTATGTAACCTTCCACGTTTATACACTTTCTGGAAAAGGAGTATGACAAGTCCCGCAATTTCACGACATTTAATTCATATATTTAATCATCTTCAAATTCTTGCATATTTTACATTTTTTTCACATAAAGATATCGTCGTGATTTATAAATACAATGGCAAAAATCAATGACAATCTCCAATACAGACGTGGACCAAGGAGCTTTTGTTTGACTTTTTGATTTTTGAAAAGGATCCTAAGTACATATGCGTTTTCGAATTGAAGTTTAATGCAAGGTATGTATGTATTGCCATTATATAATCATATAGATTAAGTGTAAATTGATATATAAAACTTGCATTCTAAATAAATAAAAATGGATAGGAAAATGACAGCGTCTTGAGTAATTACTTCTTATTACTTGCATAATCACAACGAAAACAAAGGGCGGCTGATGTAACTTTTATTTTCCAGATTCAACTCCACTTTATTGACATTTATCTTCCTTTTTGGAGTTTTATACCTTTAGATAGTCATATATAAACTCTTTTCCTATGAAAAAAAGTCAGTGCAAAAGGTTTATTCTTTAAATCAGAGGTATCAAATTTGTCTAAACAAAACATCCGAAGTCTTTTTTTATAGTTTTGCTTTGCTTCATTTTTTGACCATAGCAAGACGCAATCTATCTTTTATTTTGGAAATACCGCAAAATCCTTCAGAAAGTGTTCTGTAACGCAGTGAATCTTAAGAAGACTTTATCATAATTACATTATCTTTTATTCATCAGAGGTAATACACTTTCCTGTGGTGAAATTTGGATAAACATTTTGAATCTTCATCTAGATACTCCTTATTTTTCTTCTTTGGGACGTGGATTTGGAATTAAAATTCTGTGGATCCTGAAAGATACAAAGGGGGTATTGTTGAGTAGGAGAAGGACGCAATAAAGGCTGACGATAAGGATATATTGATATTATTGAAGCAGGCCTCTTTTATCGATCACATTTTGCTATTACAGCATTTGAACGGACCGATACACGCAAATAGTTCCACATATTTTAGTGTATTGTGATATAGAAAAGGGGTAGCACCAGGTAACTTAAGGGTGTTAGGATCCTAGATATAGTTTATTACAATGCAAAGGCATTCATGCCCTACCAGTGAACAAAACCCTAAAAATTTATTATCATCCGATGGATCTCAAACCTTTCTGCCTGTGCCTGATGTATCAAAGATGGCATACATCAACACTACCTCGACAGCCCGGTACAATAATTCCATTAGAAACGTGAGCTCTTCTGAACATACGACTGGATTTATGGCCTCTAGCCCACCAGTTAGTCCGATGGGTAATTATTCAACTGTGGCAGCGGCTCAGGCGTCCACTTCTGGCGTTGGAGGGGGTTCCAGTACCAACACAGATGCAAGCGAGGAGGAGTTGGATCAGTTGCTTAGGGAGCTACAGAGCTTGATCGATAGCCCATACGCGCAGGCAGTGTTGCAAAACATATTGGAAGTCATTGAAGCTCGCGCTTTATGTAATTTTGATCCTCTTTTTCGCGACAACTTTCTAGAGTCACGTATACGTGATATCTTGATCGAACTAACCATCGCAGGGACAGAGCAATCATTGCTCTTAGCCCTCAACCTTATTGAAGGCCTGCTCCCCATACGCTATACGCATCCCCAACAGAAGTTCACTCGGCTATGTCGCAGTCTCACAGCGATAATGGAATGTGATCTGGAGAAGCCTTCTATAGAGGCACAAGACCTATACAAGCGAATGCTGAAACTGGACATGAAATTTGATGACCCTCCTCTACTTACCTTCGTTCCCAAAGACCTAAAAGATAGGTGTGAGCACGCTCTTATGCAACTTGATCGTCGACTACAGCAGACCAATGCGCGTTTTCACCTAAAGTGCATGTCCATCCTATTGGCAGGGGCAACCACAGTCGAAGTCAACCCACACTATATAGGAGGCCAGTTGCGCAGCCAACTCATAATGCTATCCATGACGCTCTCAAGCTCTAGTGATCCGACGCTGTGTGCAACATCCTACGATTGCCTATGTGCGATCTTCCGTAACACTAGTCATATGCGGCGTAATGAGATTTCATTGGAGAACCGATGTATCTGTGAAGAGGCCGTACGGGTTTTAAGCAACAAGCATCACAACGAGGCAAACATTGTATCAATTTTGACCAGGCTGCGTGCCCTCTTGAGTAGTCGTGAGTTGAGCAGCATTAATAAACACAACATGTCGCAGCTGTGTGTCTTAATAACGGAGCAGTACCGCATCACCGAATCAGCTGCTGTGCGACTGGCGGTGTGTAAGCTGGTGCCCATTATTGCACCGATAGACCTCCACTATGCACAGCGCCGATCAAGCTACTGCGCCATCATCATGAAACCTGTTAAGAACATCCGTGATGAGCGCACTAAGTCCGATGAGCTGCACAACGTCGCGGCTTTCATTGAGAACGCTGGGTATGGCGATTTGGACTCTGCCAACCGAACAAACATTGATTCCATTATACACCGCTACATATCTCGCGTGGAGACGCAGGAAGCATGCTGGCGCATCATCGCCGCCATCTGTCAGTCAAACGCGAATAATCCTCCTTTGCGGGATTCCGTTTCAAAGTCCGGAAGTCTGGGGGCGCACCGGTCCCTCGTGTGCACCCCGAGCTGTGACGCACCAAGCTTCACGCAGACAATATTAGCTTCCTCAGTGGACGAGATCAACAGCGCGGAGATATCAGCCCTGTGCAAGGAAAACAAAAGTCCGCATGCAAAAAGTGTACCGCCTATCCCTGTAAGTGTTTCACCAGTCGTGAAAGGTTCAAATAAAACATTTACATCGACCACGGCTGCGACTGAGGCCGTCACTCCCAACCCCACGGTTCAGGTGCAGCCTCACCACAGCGAAAGCACCGTTAAATGCATAAATACGCCACAGAAAATAAGCACTCCCACAAGCTCCTCCGACGTACTACTTACCCACTCAATCACCTTGCAAATTAACACCCCTTCAGTCCAAAACACGTCTGGTAATTATCCCACTGACGCGAATACCGCGAGTGTAGCAGGCACCGTAGAAATGATCCGCCGTTGCATACCGTGCATCGTTCACGCGGCACTCACTCGGGATTTAGTTCGGTATCTCGGTATTATACAGAAGCTTGTACCTTCTCTGAGTGATGACATTGAACGTTCTCTGGATATGCTAGTAGATAGCACTCTTGAAAAGTTCTCCAAAAGTAGCGTAGACTTAGACCACACAAAGAAAGCAAGCAACAAATCGGACACTGCTAACACGTTGACTTCTCAAAATACTAGTCGTCAGTATAGCACACACGACGCTAGGAACAATTCATCAGCTGTTATGAGCTCTCTATCTCAATTCCTCAATCACAACAATAATGCAACTGAGGGTGATTTGATGGCAGACACAACTAGTAGCACAATCACACAAAAGAGTGAACAGAAGGACAACTTCACGAGTGACGTCAATGTTTCTTTGTGTAAGGTTACACCGTCACGAAACTTGACAAAGGGGCCAATGGGATATCCCTTCATGCGAACTGATTTGAAGAACTCAACAACAACGCCACGCAGCCTTTGCCAATCAACCTATTCTGTGCAGGCAGCTGAGAAGCCGCACTGTGACTTGACAGTCGCATTGGAGAGCTTTGCACGTCGTCCCGTCACATCTGTTCAGAAGCTTGAAGAGATCAAAACAGTTATCATGCCATTTCAGCGCAATGCAGATCCTGCAGTTCGCCAGAAGAGTAGCGAAGCTATCATTTTAAGCCTCGGTGAATGGATTCAATATGCTAAGGAGCATAAAACCTCGACTTACTCTACCCGCGTCATTGAGATCTTAGAATCCTACCTAAAAAATGCACTTTCAGAAATGAATCCGGCGTGTCGCCATCACGAAATTACGCTTCTTGCAGAAGCACCCAACCTGCGTCCTTTTCTTTGCGAGTCACACACGCTTTCCGTGTTACTTAGCTTCCTGAATGGTGAGTCACTAGTGAGGGAGAAAACGGTGATGTTGCTTGTGTCCCTCATTCAGGACCCAAAGCTTTCCAACTATATGCTAGCGGTTAAGCAGAGTCTTTACGTCACGATCCAGTCCTATATTGTAGTGTTGGAGTACACCAACGAGACCCGGACCTTGATTCGAAGCCTGGCGGACCTGCAAATTTTTGCAAACTTTTGTGTTCGTCTACTTAACAATCATCTCTGTCGCATTCTATATGCCTTTCGAAAGCGGCTTCAGGAGGATAATATACCGGACTCAGTTTCGCTTACAATACTTAAAACTCTTGAAAAGATCCTAGGTGCTCTTGTGAAAGAGGAAAGGACGGTTTTACAATATCAAGACGATTTTGCTGAGATTTACCCAGTGGTAGTGACTATACTCATGGAAACCCCTTTGCTGGTTATTAGGCACGCCGCAATAAATGTTCTCATGAATCTCAACCAGATGTGTCCCACCTCCTTGGTATGTATTGAGGATAAGCACCATGAGCTCATTGGAATGTTGGGGAACGTGTACAACGCGAACCAATGCACCCGCGAAGAGCTTTCTAATATATTAACGCTATTTGGGCAGCTGGGGGCGGTGGATCCATCTTCAAACCCGATGGCAGTTCAAAAAAATAAAACTGAGGCGGCTTTCGCTCAGGATGAGGTTGACTCGGATCTGATGTTTGATTGCACCGCTATTGTTTACCGCACTTTGTGTCAGATGTTGGATCTAAGCATGTCCGAAGCGGTTCACTCACAGACTTTGCGTACCCTCTTGGATTTCATTCGCTGCACTCAGGATTGTAAAGACGTTGTGGACGGTGTGCACGCAGTTCAGGCAGTGCTACACGTTTTGAAGTGTTTTACTGATAGCCCTTCTCTCCGTCTAGAAGCACTGCATGTCCTGGCCGGAATTATTACATTGAGGTATGAGCGCGTCTCGCGAGTGATGCTGCCTGAGATTGTAGTTTTGTTGGAACAGTTGTGGATCCCAAGTGATATCGTACTGTTTCGCGGTGTGTTAGAGGTAGTGGATGCTCTGAGACCGGGTAAGTTATCGGATAAAGAGCATTTGGAAACATGGGCGTGGTTGTACCCACGCCTCACAGATGTTGCACTTCAGGATCACATGGAAACACACGAGTTCTGCCTGCACGTCATTGATATTATTCTTAACGCAAGCTACATCCCACCGCATTGCATGAATATCGTCTTTCCCATGCTGACGCATTTCATTAAGCAGAACGACCTCCTCGTTGAGGTACGTAGTCAATCACTCTGTGCGGCGGTTCATATTGTGTGTGAACTCAAGGCAATGCAGTATCTACCCTCGTTAATACAAGGTATCTCCACTTTCGCCAGGCACTGTGATATGCATAAAGATCTCGCATCGCAAATATCCACACCAAGTGTACGAGAGTCACTTAAGATTCTTTCTACCCTACAGTTTGGCGGACGCTCCATCGTCAAACAGCTGCGCGATCGTATCCTCGGCGCCGATGGGTCCAGCTCATCCAGTATTCCCTTATTATCTCTGCCTGCGGTGGACAGGCACCACAGTTACGTTGTTGGGAGAACCACAGGACAATCGCATTGGAATACAGTGGCTCAGTCTGGAAGTAGTGCTGTCTCGTCTTCAACTCACATGAGCGGTCGAACGGATAACGCAACTAGTGGGGTTACTAGTAGATCCTTCCGTCAACACAAGCATTCTGAGCTGCTACGTGCCGACGACGACGCAATACCGTCCTCGATCCTTCTCAGCACCGCCGACCCGTCCCAAGACTTAGCACTCTTCATGAAGCACATTGAGTACGGTGAGCGCGTAAAGGAGAGCAAGTTACGTGAGTGGTTCGCTGAATTGCAGAAGTGGATTATACTGGTCACACCGCACCCTGCTTTTCGCGTCTTAGTGAATCTTTTTGATAAACACGAGCAGCTCCGAAGGGAGCTTTTCTATCCGTCCTTTAAGGCGTTGTACGAGGTGCTAAGTGCAGAGCAGATCAAGAAAGTGGATGTCGTGCTCACATTGGTTTTGAACGGCAATGATGCTGATTTATCAAGCAAGTGTCTTGGATTAGCTGACTATCTCGACCACAACACGCCCAAAATAACCAAAGAGGTACTTGACAAGCTAAGCAGGCTAGAGCGTGCCGATAACGGAAAGATGTTTATACACGCTAGAGAAACAGGGCCGGTTCGTCAGAATTTGAATCCAAACTGGAGCATGTGGCAAGGGGATCCTTTCGTCGCTAACGATGAACAGATCCGAAAATCTAGCATTTCCACAAGTATAAACACCGTGGGCGACTTGAAGACACATGATATTTTGACAGAGAAAGAGGGTGACGGGCACGTTCATGACGTTGACGTTGAGGGCACGCTGCTATTGGATTCGTGTGTTTCCTTGCTCAACATCTCTCGGCATGAGAAGGGAAGCGATAGCCACCGCATATCCAAGGATGGGGTCGACGAGGAGCAACATCATGGACTGCCTGGAGTGAAACGCATAACAGGTGGGGCCGAGTTGATGTTTCCTGAAGGATTGCAAGGGAATCCTACAGTTAGCGCACAGGAGCGTCCTATGCGTGACCCCAACAATAGATCATCAAACAGAAATATAAACTTAATTCAAAAATCCCGTCCATTACCACATGGCGCGCGTTTGTCGTGCAAAACGAGCATCCTCTTCTCCGCCAAGGATATTATCAGGGCAGCGGAGAGGACTCGCATGTTTGATAAAGCCCTCAGCTACCTAGAGGGTAATCTTCAGTATGTGCTAAACGCCTACCGTTATCGTGAAATACCGCGTGAGGTGATCAAAAAACATGTGTGGCCACTTGCTTGGGTTTACAGCCAGCGTGAAATGCAGGATTCGGTTGTTGGCCTCTTCAAGACAATCCGCTATGTTGGCGGTGATGAAGATGGCTTTCGTTTCGAGCTCCTTCGTTGGTGGGAAAGAGCAAAACAGGCCTACGAGAAGGTCTTTCAAGGAGACTCCATCGGACCCTCGGTTAGCCCAGCGGTTGTTGAGGGCTATGTAAGGACGCTCTGTTTTTGTGCGGAGTGGGAGAAAGCGCTTGCGGTGGTCAAGCAGGTCTACAATCGTGGCTTCCTCATGTCTTCTACATCCACCAGCAACACCCACACTTCGGCTACCATTAGCATTTCCTCAACGGTCGCTCAGTGTGGGGCGTTATCTGCGTGGGTTCTAGAGCGCTGGGACGACGTGACCCAGCTGGCGGAATGCATATCCCCCAGTGAAGGCAGCAATGCGGCCATTCGTCTTTTCCTTTTGAACGTCGTTCATCTGCATTCTGCCATCGTCGAAGGTTCTACCAGTTCGTATGACACCCTACGGCAGTCGTTTAGGCAGGGAAAATTGGTGGTTGACAGCAGTTTACGCACCCTCATGCCACTGAGCTATTCTCATGCCTATGAAAATATAGCCCTGTTGCAGCACTTCACCGAGATGGAGGAAGCCTTGGACTACACCCTCTGTCGTTCTTCCAAGCGGCGCTCTCAGTTTATAGGGCGCTGGAACAAACGCTTTTTGCACCTGAAACCAGACTCCCTATATCCCAGCCTGCACACCCTCCTCCTCCACTCCCTTGTTCTCAGTCGCAGTGAGATGTCCGACATGATGCTGCATTTTTGCGAGTCGATGAGTGCTGAATACCCAAGACTTTCCATCTGGGCGATGAATTGGCTCTGGCGGGGTATCTCTTCGTCTCATGTCGATGGCAAGCCGCCACCGATACACTCAAGTGATATGCAGAAGAGCAACCCCAGTGTTGTGGTAGGCTACATTTCTCATTTGTGGAGTCAGGGTCACCGGCAGGCTGCCGTCTCCTACATGGAGCGATACTTGGCAGACCATGGAAAAGAATTGGAGGTGAGAGATCCCGATTGCTACGGTGGAGCTCACCTAAAGTTAGGCACGTGGAAGCAGGACCTCCATGCGGATTGCTTCTGGATGAAGGAGTACTGTGAGGCCGAATTGGCCCACTTTCACGAGGCAATTCGTGCCATGCCTCACAGCTACGAGGCGTGGCACAGCTGGGGTTTAATGAACTACCGTATTCAACAGCGTGAGCATAGGTTCACATTAGGGGAATTGCATCGCTTTGTGGAAGCTGCACATCAAGGTTTTGTCGCGGCTATTTGCCGTTGCAAGAGTCCTTCTGAGGCCCTTCCTGGAATCATGCGTTTGCTTCAGTTGTGGGTCATACACAGTGGTGTTGCTTTTTTGAAGGAAATGGTTGCAGATAGCATCAGCCGTATTCCAGTGGATCATTGGGTTCAGTCTATTCCACAGCTTATTGGATACCTCGGAAATGAATGCCACGACGTTCGCGAGATGATTAGTATGATTCTTAAATCTTTGTGTGGAAAGCATCCCCAGGCTGTCGTGTTCCCACTACTTGTCGTGCTCATTCCCGACGATATGTGCATTAATACTGACCCGCAGCTTCTTCTTAAGCGAGAGTTGGTGCAGTCGATAATTCAGCACTGCCCTATACGGATTCGAAATGAGGCGGAGACAGTGGCAAAACTCCTAGTGGAAGTGTCGGCAATACCCATCGAGAAAATTCGAGAGAACCTTAGCCGGATCGCTGCGGCGTGGAATCCCAATGCTGAATACGAAGATGACCGTGAGGAGGTGCATCAGCGGCTTAAGGCTATCTTGGATATTTTTCAAGCCAATCGCAAGCACCTGCTCTACACTGTTGGTGACATCGGACAATTTGTCCAGATGGTTATTGACGATGATCTTCGTGGGCAGCGCGAGAAGGCGGCCGTCATTGTGAATCAGCTAGTGGATGAAATCACCAAGCATATTTCGGAAAAGCTGGGAAGGGAACCCCAGAAGGCGATGGAGCCGTTACTGCGCATGCGGAATTGTGCTATTGCAGTGTTTGGTGAGTACAACATTGAGAACGTGAACTACCCCACAATCGTCTCCTTCAGTTCTGAACTAGATGTAATCCCTTCGAAGAAGCGACCGCGACGAATTCAGCTGAACGGATCCGACGGGTGTCTTTATAGCTACTGCCTAAAGGGTAACGAGGACATTCGCATGGACGAACGCGTCATGCAGCTCTTTGGGATGGTAAACATTCTCCTGAGCCACATGCGCATGCCCAGTAGGGCCGATATCCATCGCTTTCCAGTCATTCCCATCACCTCCAACGTCGGTCTCCTCGGGTGGGTTAAGGACGCGAGAACGATTAACAATACCATTTGCAACTACCGCGCGAACGTATCTCACCTGCGTACGCATCACGAGTCCAACGTGCTGCATAACTACGTTGAATCTTTCGGACAGTGGGAGAAGCTTAGTATCATTCAGCGCACCGAGGCTCTGGACCACGTCATGTCGCAGGAAAATTGTGAAGCCGTGGATGTTGCCCGCACAATGTGGTACCGAGCCAACACGGCAGAGCAATGGCTTGACCTCCGTATCATGTATACAACTTCATTGGCGACCATGTCCTTGGTGGGCTACGTACTTGGTCTCGGCGACCGGCATCTCGGTAACATTCTACTCTCCATCTCCACTGGTAAGATTGTTCACATTGACTTTGGGGATAGCTTTGACGTTGGCCGCATGCGGCATGTGTTGCCTGAAACGGTGCCATTCCGCTTAACGCGTATGCTTACTAGCGCGATGGAAGTGTTTGGAGTGAACGGCGTTTTTCGGGCCTCAGCAACGCGTACCCAGAGTGTCTTGAGTCAGAACCGCGATAGCATTATGGCGCTCCTGACGGCCTTTGTGTACGACGCGATTATACAGCACAGGGGGAAAGTCAAGAATATTATGAACAAAAGCCGTTCACCTCAGAACATTGTAGAGCGGACGCGAAATAAGTTGCGAGGAAGAGAAATGGCACTGCCTAACGAACGAATGTCTATCTACAATGCTACTCCAGAGAGTTGTCGTAGGCCTGATTTGCTATATATGTCCAAGGCATTCGATGACAATGCAGTTCGAGATCAATCACTAGGAATGACACCTGAAGAGCAGGTTGGATTTTTAATCGACGAAGCAACGCGTGTTGATAACTACACCACGATGTATTTTGGTTGGGGGCCATTATGGTAGTCATCAGAGGGAAAGGTTGATCTAGCTGGAATGAGGAATAAACAAAATACAGGAAAACGTGTGGAAAAGATTCATTTAAGTAATCGTAGCACTACCATTTAGTGCTATATGCTGGTACAATTAAAATTATCTTGAAAGAAACTTATAGGTAATGTCAGCGAAGAGAAATCTAAGGAAGTAACTGGACACAGTAAATTCTCTAGAGTTCTTTTTCAGTACACGATTTGCGCTAATTTAAGCATATGCTTTATAGCCTAATAATTTTGGTTTTTATATATATGCGTAGTTGTCTTTTCATATTTTGTTTATTTACTCCCGTGATTAGAGTAATCAAAAACTTTGTTCGAACAATACTAAAAACATGGTGGAGAAAAAAATTCTTCTACACATATATATATATATATATATATATATATATATATATACTCCT